AAAAAAAGGGCTGGAGATGTTGCTCAGTTGTAGAGCATCCGGGGTTCAATCTCCAGTATAAAAAATAATAATAATAGTTTTTTTTCTTTTCTTTTTGTGACAGTAGAGATTGAGCCCAGGGCCTTCACACTGAGCTACATCACCAGTCCATTTAAAAAATTTTTATTTTACGCTACATTGCCCTTGCAGTCTTCCTGTCTTAGCCTCCCAGAGTGCTGGAATTACAAGTCTGGGCCACCTGTAATTAGTTATTATTTATAATACAATATTGGTTCATTAATTGGTTCATGAATTAAAACAAATGCAACAATCTCTTGTCAGATGTCAACAAAGGGAAACATTGTGTGGGAACTCCATGCAACCTGCTCAATTTCTCTGTAAATCTAAAACTATTCTGAAAAACAAATTAACATTTTTGCAAGGCCAAGTTTTTTAATTCATACAATATAAATCTGGCTATCACCTTAATTTTTAATGCATAGTAAAACAGACTTTATTTAAAAATTATCCTTATTTCTAGTTGCTTAGAAAGTGCTCTATTTTCATTTTAGGAAAAGAGTCAGGTGTAGTGAACACACCTATAATCCCAGCACTCTGGAGGCTGAGGCAGGAGGATCTCTGTGAGTTCCAGGCCAGCCTGGACTACACAGTGAGCTCAAGGCCAGCCTGCAATACAAAGAGAGATCTTGTCTCAGAAAAAAAGAACTAGGAGGCTGCAGCACCAGGGTACATAAAGAAGGCCTCACTGTGGGTGGGCACAGCTATTGTGAGGTCTCACCATTACTGCCTAGGCTGGCCTAAGCTCCTGGGGTCAAGTGATCCTCCCACCTCAGCCTCCTAAGTAGCTAGAAGAGGAAGTTGATTTTGTTCCCTCTGTTCTCAGGCTGGGCCCCTGAAAGCCCCTTTTCTGAAAAGGACCTCATAATAACTCAGGAAGGACACAGCAAGGAAACACAAGGGCTAGGTCTTTGACTCTTCTGCCTCTTCAGATGCTTCGTTTTTTCAACTTCCCTGGAAGGAAATGGAACACGAGGCCTTCCCTCTCTCTGGGGGTGCTTGGGCACAACAGTCCCATCAGGGTCAGGAAAAGCCCCCCACCCTGTTGGGGACCCAGGCCTTGAGGCCAGTGCAGATGCCAGGCAGGCCCAGCCAGGTGCTGCCCTAGGGTTTTGGGGTGGCCAGCTCAGGGTGGGGGCTGGGGTGGTGCTGGGAGGTAGCATCCCCACATGCAGAAGAATGATAAGGAGAGCCCAGAAGGCTGGGCACCTCCTCCCTGCACTCCAGCCTCCAGCTCTGAGTGCCAGAGTCTGGGACAGGCCAGAGCCCCGGACTCGCTGCCCCTCCTCAGGGGTCTTCCTCTCCAGGCCTGGCCCAGGGACCCTCAGGCCCTGGCGGGATGGACAGCTCTTTCCCGGGCAGGGAGCTCTGGGGGCACTGGCGCAGTCCCAGGCCCTGTCCCCAAGACACTGCTGCCTTTGGCTCCCAGAGCCACTCGTACTCAGAACGCAGAGTCCCTGGTGGGGTTCCTGGAGAGCCTTCCTGTTGTGAGGCAGGTGTGGTGCCACGGAGCTAAATCCCCAGCCCCCACTTCCTGTTGTGACTGCTGTAGAAGGCCGCCAGCCAGCCCTGAGCCTCGGGGCACACCCTGAGGCATCAGCGGTGTTGAGGCTGGGCTTCCCCAGTGCTTGGGCACCACAGCCCTCCTTTGTTGGCAGAGTATAGGAGGACAGAAAGATAGGCCAGCAGCAGGACAAAAGTGACAGTTTATGTGGTTAAGAAGTGGCAGAATTCTACCTGGGAGGCTAAGGCCGGAGGAATGCAAGTTCCAGGCCAACCTAGGCAATTTAGAGAAATGTTGTCTCATAATGAAATTTTAAAATAGGACTAGGGGCCTGAGCATGGTGGTGTATGCCTATAATCCCAGCACCTGGGAGGCTGAGGCAGGAAGATTGCAGCAAGTTCAAGGTCAACCCCTGAACTACATAGCGAGACCCTATCTCTAAATAAATAAATAAATAAATAAACAAACAAACAAATAAATAAATAAAATTAGCATTTAGGCCAGGATGTAGCTCAGCAGCACAGCACCTTCCTGGCAAGAGGGAGGCTCTGAGTTTGATTCCCAGTACCAAAAAATTAAATAAATAAATCATAGGTCTGGGTTGTAGCTCACTGGTAAAGCTCTTGCCTAGAATGAGCAAGCCCCAGCAGGATCTAGTGTCATGATTTCCTCAACCAGGCACTGGGGTGTCAGTATTACAAATCTTCACATGAGATAAGTTAAAGCATTTGCTCCAAGCACAAGATGTTCTTGCAGCCCCTCCTTGTGGTCAGGAGACAGTGGGAGCCAGGATAGCCCCATCCCAGAGCCTGAGGCCCAGTGCCCCTCTCAGTCCCATGTCCTGGGTCACGAGCACAAGCGCCCACAGTGGAAGGAAGACATGTGCGGAATTCTCCCTAAGGGGCAAACAGCACTGCCGAGGGCTGAGGCTCCTCTGGTGTTTAAGAGGGGCTACTGGTTCCTTGGGGAGCAAAAAGCCCAGATGGCTTGGGGACTGACCTTGCAGGGCCTTCCTGCCAGTCCATGGCGTCCAGACATCGTATCCAAGGGTTAGTGGCCTGAAGCCACGGTGAACGTGTATCCTCACATTATCTCGACTGCTCTGGAAACCTCACGAACCACACATGCATGATTCCACTCATTCGGGAGCGCTGTGTTCAGAGAACCCTGCCCAGGGGGAAGCACCAGCAGAGGGCAAGAGCTCTGGGGAGACCCCGCCCCACCAGATGCTTGGCTTTCACAGTATGTCCCAGGTCTGGTTTTCCTGCCAGAAGCATTTAGCTTGGGCTCTAACTAGGAAGAAACAGTCAGGTAATTCTCATTGCAGGACAGTCTGTAAAGCCCCAGGCCAGGCCTCTTCAAAAAGTCAGTGTTAGAGGGCCGGGGATTTAGCTCAGTGGTTCTGCTACCTGCCTCGCAACAGAAGGTCCTGAATTCGATCCCTGGTACAAAAAAAAAAAAAAGTCAGTGTTAGGACCGGGGATTTAGCTCAGTGGTGCTGAGCCTGCCTCACAAGTGCAAGGTCCTGAGTTCCATCCCCCATACCAAAAAAAAAAAAAGTCAGTGTTAAACTGGGCGTGATGGTGCATGCCTATAATCCCAGCACTCAGGAGGCTGAGGTAGGATTGCAAATTCAAGCCCAGCTTGCATGAGGTAGCAATTTAGAGAGACCCAGACTCAAAATAAATTTTTAAGAAAGAGCTGGGGATATAGCTCAGGGTTCAATTTCCAAGACAGGAAAAAACAAGACAAAACAAAACACAAGTCATTGTTATGAAATTCAAGGAAAGCAGGGAGGATGGCAGGATAAAGAACCGGTGAGAGCCATGGCAGCCACACTTATGGCACAATCCCAACCCAATCGTTTTTTTTTTTGTACCAGGGATCAAACCCGGGACCTTGCGCTTACAAAGCAGGCATCGGAACCACTGAGCTAAATCCCTGGCCCCTAACCCAATCTTGATGAAAAAAAAGTGCTCAGGTACACTGTGGGGACAGGTGGGGAAAACTGAACGTGGACTGGTCAGGTGACCACTCTCAAACCTCCTCATATGACCACATGCTGAGCTTCCCTGGGGCACAGCCTTCTGAGGAGGAAACACCCATGGAAGTGTCTAGAGCCCAACTATCATGTTTGCATAACTAATTAATTAATATGAACAGGCAGACAGGGCAGAATATTAACAATTCTTGGCCTGGGGATATGGCCAACTGGTGGAGCACTTCTCTAGTATGTGCAAGACCCTTGCTTTCCTATTCAGCCCTAAAAATATATATACATTCTTGTTCGAAATAATAGGCACACAGGTACTGATCATATTATTCTGCTCCTCTTCTGTAGATCTGAAAATGTTGAGGAAACCTGGGCGTGGTTGCATGCATCTGTACACTCTGGGAGGCTGACACAGGAGGCTGGCAAGTTTAAGCCCAGCCCGGGTGATTTACTGCCTTAGGGAGACCCTGTTTCAAAATAAAAAATAGAGAGGGCTGGGCTGGGGATGTACCTCAGCAGTAGGGCATCCCTGGGTTCAATCCCCAGTATCCTCCTGCCAAAAAAGGTAGAGTTGAGGTTAGCAGTGATGGTGCAGAAGGATCACAAGTTCAAAGCCAGCTTCGGTAACAGGAAATTTCAGACCAGCTTGAACTAGAGTGCTACCCCGCCTCAAGAAAAAAAAAAAAAAAAGGAAGAACTAAGTGTTCATATGTCTAAAAAGGACAAGAGTTTCATAAGGGTATTCTGAAATAAACACTAAGAGTCAAACCTCCCCCCAGCTGGGGACCAGGCCTAGCATGGAGGTGGACAAACCCCAGGGTCTCTGCTCCACCAGAGGTGTGTGAACCTCAGGGACAATGACAACAGTGTCCTGAAGCTGAGCAGAGCTGTGAGCCAGGCCACTGCGGGGAGGGTTGGGATGAAGGAGGAGAAGGAAGCCCCACAGGCCTCCATTTCCCTGCGCCATCCCCCAAGAGGCTAGCCCTGCCAGCTGTGGTAGCTGGGGTACCAGCGGGACCCCGTGCTATCTGCTCGCTTCCACCCCTCCCCCACACTGACGGGACTGAAAGACGCAGGTGTTTAGGAGGCCCGGGCGGTGGGCGGAGCCAGCAGCCATGGGCCCTGGCAGGGGTTCTTCTTGGGACGCCGGGGGTCAGATGTCCCTCCAGGATGGGCACAGGCACGTGGGGTGCTATTCCCAGGCTCTGATGGAGGCTGTCTATTTATAGTGCTGGGGGAGGGGGCTCCCCACACAGGCAGCGGAAAGACTGCCTTGCTGCACTGTCACCATCGGCGCCGCTGCTGCAGGCTGCGGGCCCCTGCAGCCACCGCAGAGGACAAAGGGCCCTCAGCGGGGCAGACCCAGGGCCGCCGGGCACTGTGGAGGACAGGAGGTGGCCAGCCAGATGGGCAGCACCGTGGAGCCCCCCGGGGGTGCGTACCTGCACCTGGGTGCCGTGACGTCCCCAGTGGGTACAGCCCGCATGCTGCAGCTGGTCTTTGGCTGCACCACCCTCAGCCTGGTTGCCCACCGGGGCGGGTTCGCTGGCGTCCAAGGTACCTTCTGCATGGCTGCCTGGGGCTTCTGCTTCGCCCTCTCCGTCCTGGTGCTGACCTGTGAGTTTACAAAGCTCCACGGCTGCCTGCGCCTCTCCTGGGGCAACTTCACAGCAGCCTTCGCCATGCTGGCCACGCTGCTGTGCGCCACGGCCGCCGTCATCTACCCGCTCTACTTCACCCAGCTCCAGTGCCTGCCCAAGCCGGCTGGCTGCATGGCCAGGGACTTCCGCCTGGCAGCCAGCATCTTTGCCGGGCTCCTTTTCCTGGCCTACGCCTCTGAAGTGGCCCTGACACGGGCACGGCCTGGCCAGGTAGCTAGCTACATGGCCACAGTGTCGGGGCTTCTCAAAATTGTCCAGGCCTTCGTGGCCTGCATCATATTTGGAGCACTTGTTCATGACAGCCGCTATGGGCGCTATGTGGCCACACAATGGTGCGTAGCTGTCTACAGTCTGTGCTTCCTGGCCACAGTGGCTGTGGTGGCCCTGAGTGTGATGGGCCACACAGGGGGCCTGGGCTGCCCCTTCGACCGCCTGGTGGTCGTGTACACCTTTCTGGCTGTGCTCCTCTACCTCAGCGCTGCCGTGATCTGGCCTGTCTTCTGCTTCGACCCCAAATACGGGGAGCCCAGGCGGCCCCCTGACTGCCCCCAGGGCAGCTGCTCCTGGGACAGCCAGCTGGTGATAGCCATTTTCACGTATGTCAACCTACTCCTCTACGTCGTCGACCTGGCCTACTCGCAGAGGATCCGCTTTGTGCCCACCCTGTAGCCTGGCAGGCGGCTGCCTGCACACCCGCAATCACCAGTGGTGGCTCCAGGCACAGGAAGGTGACCAAGGTCAACTGGGACATCAGGGGCGAGCAGCAGGGAGGCTGAGGGCTCAGGGCAGGCATGGCAGAGGACGCTCCTGGACTTCTGGCAGTGCTCAGAGGCTGGCGTTGGGGAGGGAGGTGGGACAGAGGGTCAGGAGGCGCTCAGCGGCGAAGCTCATGGGCTCTCATTCTTCCCATCTGTGTCCATCTCCATCTCAATCTTTATCTCCCATTTCCAGCCCTCCCTGGGCTCAGTGCTGGTCACTGCAGCACCTGCTGTTGTGACCCATTTTGCAGCAGGGGACACTGAGACTAAATAGTCACTGGTGGTGGCCCAGTATGCCCACCAGTGTCTGGGGATGGAGCACAGGCTGGGTAATATAAGTTGGAAAGGGGAGGTTTCCCGGAGGTGTTGGAAATGAGCCAGGGAGAGCCCCAGAGCCAACCAAGGGAGGGGAGGAGGGGGGCTGGAAGTGCCTCCTCATCTGAAGGGGCAGTCCTGGAACCTGGAGGGGGACTGTGCAAGCTCACAGAGAAGAAGCCAGGAAATCAGGACCAGCCTTACCAGCCCCCACAGGGCCTCCCAATGGCCACACCAAGAACTGGGTTATAGCTCACAGGCTGGAGGTGGTGCTAGGAGCCTGCAATGGCCCACTGAAGCCGGCAGTACTACCAGGAGCAGTGTGGAGAGCAGATGGGTCCCCACCCAGCGATGGAGCCTCACCTGGACACTCACAATGGGTCGTAACCCAGCGGCTGGGGTAGTGCCTGCCGGGCTCCCAGAGGCTGGCTAGTAGGCAGTGTGAACAGATGGTGAGGGCCCAGCCTGGGGCAGACCCTGGGACTTAGCTTCCAGGCTCTCAGCTCCTCCAAGCATCCAGTTGTCCAGCTGCTCTTAACTGCCAAGGCCTGCTGGTACCATCATCCTCCATGTTCCAGCCAGCTTCTTCTGCATGTGAGCCCAGACTGGACCAGCCTCGGGTGGCCCACTAGCCAGCCAGAGCCCAAGCACCACTCACTGGCTCCCAAGGTCCATGAGCAGCAAATAAACGCAGATGTTCACTTGCACCCTGGCTCTGGCCAAGTGGTCTCTGCTGAGGGGCTGTGGCAATTGTGCCTCCTGTGGTACCCTCTCCTGGCATGCTCTGGGAGCAGGGCCTAGCCTGGGGCCTGGCTGAGGGAAGACATGGCCCTGGGGACACCTGGTGTTCTAGGGTGGAGGAAAAACTGGGCCTTGTCCCCTGAGGATCCTCCTGAGGAAGGGACAGACAGGTTCTCCCCTCAGTGGGTGACAGGCCAGGATGGCTCAGATGGGCCAGTGGGAAAAAGGAAGATCAAGTTCAAGCTCACCCTCCTCCTTCCTAGAGGCCCCTGAAACTCACCAGCTCCCCACATCCTGCAGAGGGTCCCCAGAGGCTTCAGGCATGGGGAGACAGGTTGGACCTTCTGGGCAGTGGAACCCAAGCAGTTTTAGGCTGTAAAGACCCAAAGCCAGGTCCTGTGTGAGCCCTCTGACCTTTGCTGGCCAGCTGGAGAGGGGTCTGGATCAATGTCTTTTTTTTTTTGGTACCGGGGATCAAACTCAGGACCTTGCGTTTGCGAAACAGGCGTGGGGCCACTGAGCTAAATCCCCGACCCTGGATCAATGTCTTTTATTAGGAAAGGTGGGTAGTTGGGCTGAACAGCAGATTTCCAAGGGGTCTGGGGCTCATGTTACCAGGTAATAAAGGAGCATGTGGGCCGTGCCATTCCCAACTCACAAGGGAGGCTTGGACACTGGCGGAACCTACTTTCCTCCTTCCTTCTTGTGCTAGCCCAAACTCTAAAACAAATTGTCACCAGCCCCCTATTTTCCACTGTCCAGTGGCCTTCTGCCCACAGGACCCCATCCAGTCTAAATTTCAGAGGTCCCAAGAGAGGGCCAAGGAGGGGAGGGGTCAAGGTACAAGAAGACCATGCTGGAGGGATATGGAAGGGGTGGTTCTGCTGATGTTTACTCCCTGGGCCAGGGCTGTCTTGTTCTGTGTTTAGGAGGAGTATTATTTGTCATTCTCACCAGAAAAAAGCAATCTTTAAAAAAGGGAGCTGTTATTGAAATGTAATGAACTCCTAGGTTTTGTGTCATGAGTTTGAGCTGTCACCGTGGGACACATACTTACTCCAGCAGCTCCCTTGTAGGCTAGGGACCCAACTCCTCCCTCAGTGTGCACGCACCTCCTACTGCTGGTAGTTATCATGGGAAGCTGGTGGATAGAACAACAAACCTAGCAGCCAGCCTGGGAGTAGAAATGTCCTCATTGTTCTGAAATTACGTTCTGAAACTATTTGTCCTCATCTAAGACCCAGAGCGTTAAAAATAAAGCAGGCCCTTGTGGGGGTGGACTGTGGTGGTCATCACTTCTATCCTGCCCCAGTCCTGTTCCTGGGGATCCCCAACTGCCCTGGGGCCTCAAAGCAGGCAGACACACCCTGCGCACGTCCTGGGGACGGAGAGGAGATGACTAGAATCTTATTCTGCCTGACCCAGGACCAAAAAACCCCTAGGGCTCCCTATTTACTAGGTGACCACCACTTGTTTGGAGAAGATTCGGGCCCAGGGGCCAGAGGTCACAGAGGGTCCCCACCTGTGAAAGGGGTGCCCACGGAGTGGAGCGACACAAAGGAGAGACCCATCTCTTTATGGAGGAGCCTCGCTCTCGGGAACCATCCCCGCGAGCAGGTCCTCCAGTCACGCCACCCCCGGTGGGTGATGCAACACCCGGGATGCAGCTGCGGCTCCTGATTGGCCGGTGCGCGGCGGCTGAGGCGTGGATTGGCTGGAGCGGCGGGGGCGGGGTCGGAGGGTGCCGCGTGGCGGACGCTGCTGCCCGGAGAGCTGCACCTGGCTAGCGAGGTTGGGGTCATGACGACTGGAGGCTCCGGGGTGGAAGTTCTGAGGCTGCGGGGATTCGGACGTGGGGGACTGTGGGCCCTGGGTCTGAGCTAGCTCCTCTCCCATGCCTCGTCGGTTCTACTGCGGGTCCCACCCTGGTCTTTTTCCGAGGGGCGGGACCCTCGGAGCCGGCCAGAGACCCGCTCTTGGCGGGGAACTGGGACGGCTACCAGGCGGGGCGCCCCGGACAGGCAGCAGCGGGGAGGGTTGGGCTGGCTGGGACGGAGGCGCCCACCTAACTTCCTGCTCGCCATCTTGCTGGACTTGCCCGCAGCTGCCCCTTGCCGAGCCGTGCCAGCTGTGAGGGCCTGCAGACATCATGAGCGTGGGCTTCATCGGGGCTGGCCAGCTAGCCTATGCCCTGGCCAAGGGCTTCACCGCGGCAGGTAGACCGTGGGCCGGGAAGGAGGCCAAGTGTGGGAGGCTGGGCCCCTTTACCCTCATGGGGCGCTGCCTCCCGGGTCGGGGTGGGGGTTACATGGACCCCGGAGTGGGAAAAAGCCGTGTCCCTATGTTTGGGGTTGCTGTCTCCCCCCCGGGGGGGGGGGCGGTTCCTTTCAGTGACCTTCTTGGGAATATGGGGGAGGGAGGCCAGGCATGGCCTTGAAGGAGGAACTCTATACCCCCAGGTGTCCTGGCTGCTCACAAGGTAATGGCCAGCTCCCCAGACATGGAACTGGCCACAGTTTCTGCCCTCAGGGTAGGTACTGGATGGAGGGTGGACAGGGAGACTGGGACCCTACAGCATGTGTTTGGAGCTAGGGTTGTGACAGCCCTGACAGTGACGGGTCATAAGTGGAGGAGGCTGCGACCCTACCTCTTCACCCTGTCGATGGCTCCCAGTACTGGCCTTGTGTACAGCTGGTGAGAGAGGGTGCTCGAGGGGCATAGGGTTTTCCGGATGGGGTTAAAGATTGAACGGCGTCAGGCCGAGGGGCCGCAGCACCGGGCCAGATAAGACATGCCTGGAGGCTGAGTACATTTAGTTTGCCCTGACTGAGTTAGGGTTTCAGATCCAAGGGTGGGGGGATGCTCTCCACTGGAGGCCACCGGAGCTGGAGGGCTATAGCCTGATGTAAGCTGGGCCAGGGCCGAGGCCTGGACAAAACGTCTCCCTTTCTGTCTGCAAAAGGTACACACTGCAGAGCAGACTGCTTCCTCCATTTCTGTATGGGAAGGGTGGCTGCGGGCCCGCCAAGCCCCATGCCCTTAGCCCACAGTCTAGCAGGCTCTGGCTGTTCTACCTGTGGGACTTGCAGGGGGAAGGCAGGCTCTGTGGGGCAAGCCAGCCCCTGGGGCAGGCTGAGCTGCCTTGCTCCCCTGTAGAAAATAGGGGTGAACCTGACACCCCACAACAAGGAGACGGTGCGGCACAGCGATGTGCTTTTCCTGGCTGTGAAGCCACACATCATCCCCTTCATCCTGGATGAGGTTGGCGCCGACCTCGAGGACAGGCACCTTGTGGTGTCCTGTGCAGCTGGTGTCACCATCAACTCCATTGAGAAGGTGGGGGCTCCCAGGTGGCTGCAGGAGGGCAGGGCCAGAGCTCTGCTCCCCATCACTGGGTTTTCCACCGAAGGGGATGCAGCAGCCTGGCCCATGGCGGGAACCCTAGATGCTCTGCTGGGGTGTGGTCCACTTCCACACCCACACAGTTGGTTTCTTCTCCAGAAGCTGAGGACATACCGGCCAGGCCCCAAGGTCATCCGCTGCATGACCAACACCCCAGTTGTGGTGCGGGAGGGGGTCACCGTGTATGCCACGGGCACCCATGCCCAGGTGGAGGATGGCAGGCTCCTGGAACAGCTGCTGGGCAGTGTGGGCTTCTGCACAGAGGTTGAGGAGGACCTGATCGATGCTGTCACAGGGCTCAGCGGCAGTGGCCCTGCCTACGTGAGGCTGGGAATGGTGGGCAGCGGGGGGGGGGGGGGGGGGCGGGGCAGGGTCCTGGGACAACTCTGTCCCTGGTCCCCTTCCAGGGCTGGGGTGGGGTCTCTGAGGCTCTAGAAAGTGGTACTTTACCCTGCCCCACTGTACTCCCTGCTCTGGACCCCGGAGGAGAAGGAGGATGAGAAGCCAGGATGGTTGGTCAGGGGGCCTTCTTTTGGCAGGCGTTCACAGCCCTGGATGCCCTGGCTGATGGCGGCGTGAAGATGGGGCTTCCAAGGCGCCTGGCAGTGCGCCTGGGGGCTCAGGCTCTCCTGGTCAGTGCCTCTTGACCCTCTGGTGGGGGCTGCTCCTTGCTGATTGTGGGCTGGGGACTGAAGCCAGCGGTAGGGAGTCAGCAGGAGCATCTGCAGAGCCAGCCGGTGCCCCACTGCCCTCAGCCCCTCTCTCTGGTTGCAGGGGGCCGCCAAGATGTTACTGGACTCAGAGCAGCACCCAAGCCAGCTCAAAGACAATGTCTGCTCTCCTGGTGGGGCCACCATCCATGCCTTGCATGTGCTGGAGAGTGGGGGGTTCCGCTCCCTGCTCATCAATGCTGTGGAGGCCTCCTGCACCCGTACACGGTGGGCCCTGCTGCTGCTTCCCTCTATGCTGCACGCCACAGAGTCTGGGCCCCACAGGTGGCAACTCAGATATTCACTGAGCTCTAGCCTGGCCTTGGGCAAGACACAAGGAACCCCAAGCTTCCTGAGGTCACAGTTTCCAACACTCCTCCCGCCTTTCTGTTGCCTTGTGAGGAGGTGGGGTCATGTGTGGCTGGAGGCAATCTCCAGGCCTACACTGCCGCCCGCCATTGTGTCTGGGGACATGGCTGGTCTCTGGCTTCCTCGTGGCCTTGCTAGGGATAAGGGAGTTATTGGCTGGGATCCTGCAGCAGCTCAAAGCCAGACTGGGCCTGGGAGTCGCTTTCCCAAGTGTCAGCCTACAGGGTGCCACCGTGCCTACCCTCTAGTGCAAATACCCACAGACTTCTGAGTGCCACACATGACAGCAAGGCACTGCTGGTAGGGTAACAGAGAGGCAGAGACACCCCTAGTTGGAATAAGAGCTCAGGGTCTGGGGGTGCTGTCGATAGACAGAGTGACCCTGACCCTCTTTGAATGGGGTGAGTGGGAGCCATGCAGCTGTGTGGGGCAGGGTGTGGCTAGCAGAGTGGACTGCAGGTGCAAAGGCCCAGAGGTAGGGGTGACAGCACTGCCCCAGGCTGCCAGGTGTGAGCTCGCACTGTGGGCTCTGGGAGGAGGCAGAGCCCTGGGCCCAACTCCTCGGTGCCTTGGCAGGGAGCTGCAGACCATGGCTGACCAGGAGACGGTCTCACCCGCTGCCATCAAGAAGACTGTCCTGGACAAAGTGAAGCTGGACTCCTCTGCGAGAGCCTCCCTGTCCTCTTCGGACCGTGCCAAGCCATTGGCCCACAGCCTGGCCCCAGCGGGCCAGGACTGACCATCCTGGCCACCTGCCCCCTACCTTTCCTTCTTTTTGTCTTTGTTTTTGGGAGATGGTGTCTTCACCATGTGGCCCACCTTCTGGGCTCAGCGGTCTTCCTGCTCAGCTTCCCAAGTGCTCGCTAGGACTGCAGGTGGGTGCCACCACACCTGACTGTGCTCTGCTTTCTCCTCTCCTGGCTCAAGGCATCTGCCCTGGGGTCTCTAGTCCAAGGCCACACAGTGTGTCCACAGTGGTCAGTTGCCCGTCATGGCCTGGCTCAGCCAGGGCCAGCTGGGGTCACAGTCAGCCAGGGGCTTGTCACTTCCCGGGAAACTTTGTGGTCCCTGAGTGAAAGCCCAATCCAGGGATGGCTTCCCTGGGCTCCTTTCCTCCAGGTTCCTCTGGAGCTGAGGCCTGCAGGCACCTTCCCCACCCCAGCTGGCTTGGGGTCAGTGCCCTCTCGAGAACAAATGTCAAGGGACCCTGCTGCTCCTCCAGAGGCACCAGAGACACCTGCCTGTGTGAGGGCCAATGGGCCCCAGGGAGCCCAGGCCCCATGATCCAGGGCACATTGGGAGAAGGGCTCATGTCCACCACCCGAGTACTCAGGCCAATGCTCCTGTTCCTCTCACTTCTCTCTGGACACTTTAGGTTGAATAAATTGCTCTCTGAAACTCCCAGTGCCCTGACTTCTCACTGGTGGCCTCCAGCTGTTTCAGGGTTAACATGGAAGGAGGGCCTGAGAGAAGGCAGTCTGGCAGTCCTGCAGCAGCTGGGTGGAGCCAGGCACCTTCCTGGCTGTCAACACAGCCCTGGCCAGAAGCTGGGACTGTAGGCAAGGCTGGGCACACCCCACAGGTGCCACCTCTGTGCTCTCCAGGCCTCCTGACTCACCAGGGCTGATGTGTCACCAGCTGCCCAGGACAGGCACAGCCACGGTCCCGAGGAGGAAGGGACCCTTGACTGTTCTCCAGAAAACAGAGGAAGGGAGATGAGGAAGAATGGCCACATGATGATACCAGCTGGCAGGTCCCACTGTGGGCTGGGCCAGCAGGCTGGGGACACTGACCCAAGAGGCAGGGAAAACTAATGCTCCAGCTCAAAGGCCAGAAAGCAGTAAAGTCAATACTGTAGCCAAGGTCTGAAGGTCATGTGTTGAAGAATACACCCCTACTTAGGGGAGGGTTGGATTCTGGGTTCTAGTCTACCCTGTAGCTGATTTGATGAGGCCCAATCATATTAGAGAGGGAAAACTGCTCTACTGATTAAAATGCTGCTTTTAGCAGAGCATGGTGGCGCACACCTATACTCCTAGCACTCTGGGAGGCTGAGGCAAGAGGATCACAAGTTTGAGTCCAGCCTGGGCAACTTAGTGAAACTCTATCTCAAAAAATTTAAAAAGGAGATGTTTTATTGATTGTGTGATTGGTTTTTTGAGGCAGGCTCTCATTATGTTTTATTTTTTTTTTTGGTACCAGGGATCGAACTTGTGACCTTGTACTTGAGAGTCAGGTGCCAGAACCACTGCGCTAAACCCCCAGCCCAGAGTCTCATTATGTAATCCAAGCTGGCCTTGGATTCACTATGTAGCCCAGGCTGGCCTGGAACTCCTGGCAATCCTCCTGCCTCAGCCTCCCAGAGTGCTGGGATTGTGGGGGTATATGCTTCTTGTCTAGCTAGTTGCTTGGAGATGTAACTTAGTGGAAACACCCTCCATTCAATGCTCAGTACCCCCGAAAGTTTTTTTTTAAGTTACTTGTATCTAATCAAGTTTACTGACTTAAGGATTTCTTCCATGCAAAAACACCCTCACAGGTCTGTCTAGACCAGCGCTGGATATCTGGCATCCTTGTAGCCCAGTCAGAGTGACACAAAGACAGCCCTCGCAGGAGGCCCTCACGATCTGGTGGAGAGGCCTCCGTACGAAGGCCAGGAGTGCTCTTGTTTGTCAATCAATAGCGTGGAAACAGGAAGATGGGATCCCTCCCTCTGGAGGTGACATGAGCAGGGGAGCCAGCAAGGCTGCAGGTTGTGTTGGGGAGCACGGTGAGGCAGGCAGACCAGTGGGGCAGGGAGAGGGAGCGACCCCGAGAGCGGAGAGGAGACCACTCAGAATCAAGGCTGGTGAGGCAGGTGGAGGACACTTTAGGGACAAGGGTCCCATCTATGGAATCTAAGGGAAGTCGAAGCAGAAGGAACATGTGGGGAGTAGAGCAGAGCACAGGAGGCTTGGCCACAGTGACCACCAGAGTCCTGGTCCTCCCGTCTACGAGTGTCCCCAGGCCTAAGCCCAGAGTGGTGGTGGTGGAGGACCCTGCTGCTGGGTTGGGATCTTGCATGCCTGCATCCCCTCCGGAGGCCTGGGTCTTGCCACAGGTCCCTCCTGTGTGGGTAGCAGTGAACACCCAGAGCTCCTCCCTTCCCTGACACAAACCCCAGAAAACCGTCCCAGAAGCCACATTCCTGAGATCCCAGGGGTCCTGGAGGAAGGTGGGGGTCCCAGATCCAGACAGGCTTTGCGAAGGCCATGAAGGCACTAGATTGTAGCAGGGAGAGCCTGCAATGCTTCCTACTGTGGGTCCCCGTTAGGGCAAAGGCCATTGCTTCTCGGCCTTTTGGCTAAAATTAAGTGTAGGAAAAGGCCAGAAGTGTGGGCAGAGGTGGGAGTGGAGCCACAGAGAGTCCTCAGTGGGGCAGGCAGAGGGGAGATGGATGCTGGAAGCCACCAAGAGGGTGAGAATCAAGTGGGGACATGTATTTACGTGCATCTGGGTTGAAAGAGGGCTCTGGGGCAAGGGACCCCAGTACTGCCATGCAGAGGACCCATGAAAGGGCCCCTGACCAAGGGTTGACTGGATGGGACCTTCCCAGCTGCCACTGCTGCCAGCTCTGTTACCCCCAGTCCTGGACAGCCCCCATCAGAATGAGGCAGACCTCGGAGTCTCTGCTCCTGGCCCAAAGGCTCGGGGAACTGATGGATGAATCGGCCCCCACTGCTTGGTCCAACTTCTGCCTCAGTTTCCTTATTGGAATTGCCCTGACTCCCATCTGCAGGGTGGGGGATCTTTCTTTTTTTCTTTTTTTTGTACCGGGGATCGAACTTGGGACCTTGTGCTTGTGAGGCAGGCGGCAGAACCACTGAGCTAAATCCCTGGCCCTTCTTTCTTTGTTCTTTCTTGTGCCAGGCTGACCCCTGTGCAGACCAGGCTTCAGAGCAACAGGACAGGCAGGGAAGGGGGACAGCCACCATTCCAGAGAGGGCCTGGAATGACCCAGGAAGCAGGAGGGCCCGTCAGAGGTTGACACCAGCCAAGTCCCACACATCCTGAGCCTCCCAGCAGCACAAAGGGCCTGCTGATTCCAGGAGGTGGCAATGGGGTCCTGAGAGCAGATAGCCCAGGGAGGCCATAGCCTGACCCGAACAGAGACAGGGGCCAGGAGACATTGGGAGGTGTGTGCAGGAGGGCACTGTGCAGTGGCCCATTGCAGCAGGAAACAGTGCTGGAGGAATAAAGAAGGCCTGGGCATCAATTCTTTACTTTTTAATTTTTTTTTTAAGGACTAAAGCCAGTGGCATTCCACCACTGAGCTATATCATCCTCAGCCCTTTATTATTATTATTATTTATTATTATTATTTTTTGTACCAGGGATCGAACTTGGGACCTTGCGCTTGGAAAGCAGGTGGCAGAACCACGGAGCTAAATCCCCAGCCCCTATTATTATTATTTTTTTGAGACAGGGTTTCACTATGTAGTTCAGGCTCTCCTTGAACTATGTAGCCCACGCTGGGGTCAGACTCACAGTGATCCTCCTGCCTCAGCCTCCTGAGTGCTGGAATTACAGATGTGTGCCACTACACCCAGCTTTATTTTGACACAAGGTCATGATAAATTGCCCAGGCAGAACATGAACTTTCAACCCCCCTGCCTCAGCCTCCCTGAGTGCCTAAATTACAAATGTGTGCCACTGTGTCTGGCTAGGTATCAGCTCCTAAGGCTAATCATGCAGATGCCTGCATGGACTGACAGGGAGGCCCTGAAACCTCTCTTCTTGCGGTATCACTTTCATTTATTTTTTTAGTGCTGGAGATTGAACCCAAGATCTTCCCATAGAGGTGTATTTTTATTTCAAGACAAGGTCTCACTAAGTCACAAAATTGCCCCGGGAGACTCAAATTTGTGATCTTTCTATCTTAGCCACCTCTAGAGGCATGCACCACCATGCCCAGCATCCAAATCACTCAATGGAATAGTCCTATAGCTGCCCTGGTGGCCCTACCTGACTGGGCCCAGGTAAAAATGTACCACTCTTTCCAGTGACAGGTATTCTAAACCCTTCATGGGGAGCTGTCCTGGTGCTCAGGGCTGGATTCGATCTGAGGCCTTTAGCTGTTCAGTATACCAACTGCAGACCATCTTGGGCTCTCTGGCTGGACCAGACAGGCTCCTAGGGCATTCGCTGCTTCAGTGCCATCCTCTGCTCCCTCAGTGTCCCCACACACAAACGGACTCCCTAGTGCTGCTGTACAGGTCGTCTGGACCAAGTTCAGCTGAGAAAGATTCTGGAGCTTAGGGTGCCTCCTGGAGTCTTCTGCACAGATCCTGGAGGACAGGGTGGGCAGCACACCTCCCATTACTGACCTCAGGGCCTAGGGCTGTCTCCCTGCAGGGAGCAACCTGCACCCAACCCCCACTGTCTTCCAGGTGAGCTTGGCCTCGAGGATTTCTTGTGGACCTCTCTCTCATGGGTGGGTATACCCCCAAACCTACTTGCCTTTCCCCAGAGACGGAAGAGGTTCCTGTGCCTGTGCCATGCAAGAAGGAGGAGCATGAGTCCTTCCAAATGAAGAAGAGAGCACAGCAGTAAAGATGATTCTTAGCTGGACATGGTAGTACAAACCTGTAATCCAAGCACCGGGAGGCTGAGTCAGGAGCATCATAAGTTTGAGCCCAGTCTGGACAACTTAGTAAGATGATGTCAAATAAAAAACAAAACAAAACATTTTTTTAAAGGACTGGAAGCCGGGCATGATTGTACACACTTGTAATCCCAGCACCTGGGAGGCTAAGGCAGTAGGATCCCAAGTTTGAGGCCAGCCTAGATTTTGAATGGAATTGACCTCCAGATCCTCTGAAATGTCCCTAATAGTCAACTGTCTGTTTGATCCAATCTATTCACTCATTCTTTCAATCTTTTTTGGGGTTTTTGATGTTGAAGGACATTCTTTTTGTCTTCAACTGATTCACAGCCATTATGAAATTGCTCAAACCACTCGAAAATTGTCTCCATGGTCACTGCACCATCACCATACACTAATTTTTTTTTTTGGTACCGGGGATCAAACTCGGGTCCTTGTGCTTTCGAGGCAGCTGGCTGAACCACTGAGCTAAATCCCTGGCCCACCATAAACTAATTTTAACATTTCATCTGTTACTTTAGCAGTTTTTTTGCAGTTTGAAACAAAATTCCATGTTAATGCGTTGTGATCCATTATTTGCAGCAGAGTTGAAAACACACTCCACCATAGTTCACAACCTACTGACACCAAACAAGTTAAAAACTTGTCACACTGTTTCTAAGTTTCCACAATACTTCTTGTATTGAGGATCCCTCCCTTTCCCTTGGCTGGCATTCAGCAGCAGCTTTCACTCTACTTTTGAACATGTCTCCCAGGGGACTGGCCAAATCCAGTGTGGTTCCTCTTTCCTGCCTAAAAAAGTTATCTGGAATCTTCAGTGAATTCAAAGTGAGGAAGAAATGTGAGATAGCCTTTGTCTAAAAGATGGAGCAAGCCCGAAGCAGCCATATTTATACCTTACGAAGGGTCCAGATGTCAAGGCAGCCTGGATTTTGAGAGACTGTCTCAAAAAAAACAACAGAAAAGATGATTCAGACATCAGCTTCACAGTGTCCTCCCATGTGTGAATGAAAGAAAACCAGGCTCCATGCTGTGAGCAGAGATGCGTGAGAGGAACATGTCTGGGGACCAGCCCAGTGACTGTTCACCCCACAGCAGCTGTCTAGCCAAGAACCATTGGTCCATGTTTCCTGATGGCACTGAAGGATGGGAGGAGCAAATGGGTCCTGACGTGACTGTGTGGCCTGCCAGGTCCCTGCTGCACGGACCCAGCCCTCACAGCAGAATGAAGCTCAAACTGCATGGCCCCTCTGAGCAGGATGAGAATGTCTTCAGAGCTCAGGAGATGTAGAACACAGAACTGCACTTGGACTGGGGATCAAACTCGGTTCCTTGCGCTTGCACAGCAGGCAGTGAAACCAGAGCTAAATCCCTGGCCCTTGGCTATTTTTTTTAATCTTTGCTATTTTTTTTTTTTTTTTGATACCAGGGATGGAACTTGGGACCTTGCACTTGTGGGGCAAGTGGCAGAACCACTGAGTTAGATCCCCGGCCAGCATAATGGCACACTCCTTGATCTTTTGATTCTCCTGCCTCAGCCTCCCAAGTGTTGGGGATTACAGGTGCATGGCAATGTGCTGAGCTTCCCAGATACTCTTGAATCCTGGAGTTGGAGGGCAGCCTGGGCAACTTGGTCAGACTCCATTTCATTGAGAGAGAGAGAGAGAGAGAGAGAGAGAGAGAGAGAGAGAGAGAGAGAGAGAGAAAAGCTGAAATCTTTTTTTTTTTGCCACTGGGGATCGAAGTCGGGAACTTGTGCTTATGAGGCAGGCACCAGAACCAATGAGCTAAATCCCCAGCCCAAAGCTGAAATCTTTAGAAGTCATGCAATGAGCATATTAAACATATTCTGTGAGATCTGGGCTATGGCCAATGTGGGGAACAAAGATAAAGGTTTCTTTCCCTCCCTTAAGAAGAGAACAAGAACCACCCAGTGCCCTTTGTGGCAGCTGGAGACAATGTGCTTAGGGACTCAAAGAGAACTCCCTGGAAGCTGGGCAGACCGATGGATTGGGGACTCCTGGGTTGGGCCCTGTCATACTCTTATTCTTCATTCAGTGGCACCGAATGCCTGCCTCCTCTCTCCTTTGTCACCTTCTTGCCCACTGGCAGAGTGAGTCACCCTTCCTGGCTTTACACCCGGGAAGAGAAGAGGACTGAGTAGAAAGTCCAGAAACTGGGTGGATGTGGTGGTGCCTATTTGTAATCCCAGCACTCTGGGAGGCTAAAGCAGGAAGATTGAAAAGTCACGCCCAGGGCTGGGGATTTAGCTCAGTGGTTTCAACGCCTGCTGCGCAAGCGCAAGGACCCGAGTTCAATCTCCGGTACCCCAAAAAAAAACAAAACAAAAAAACGTCACGCCCAGCTCAGGCAATTTAGTAACTTTGTGAGGCCTGTCTCAAAATAAAAAATAAGAAAAGGACTGGGGATGTACTCAGGCTCAATTCCAAGTGCTGGGGTTTTAAAAAAGCAGGGCTGGGCCGGGGATTTAACTCAGTGGTTTCACTGCCTGCTGCGCAAGCACAAGGACCCGAGTTCGATCCCCAGTACCAAAAAAAAAGGGCTGGGCGTACTGGCACACACTTGTAATCCAGCACTCCAGAGGCTGAGGCAGGAAGATCACTGCGGGTCTGAGGTCAGCCTGGGCTATATAGTGAGTTCAAGGCCAGCCTGAACTACATAGGGAGACCCTGTCTCAAAAAGAGTTTAAAAACTAAAAAGTATTAAATTAATTTTATAGTAATTTTTATAATAAAAAGTGCAGAAACTGGAAGAAATTAGGGTCTCCCAATTTCTCTCTGTTACTTCCTCCTCTGGGAATTTTCAACAGTGCTGGGGTCTGTTTCTGGGGAGAAACAGACAAAGAGTCAAAGCAACGTTCTGGTCAGATGATAGTGTCTCAGGAAAGAAAACATACAATTCGTTGCAGACCGGGGTGTACCTCAGTGGTGGAGTGCCTGCCTAGAAAGCGCGAGGCCATTGGTTCAACTCCCGGGTCGGGGTGGGGCGTTTAATTCTTGTGAGTACTACATACCAGACTCCGTCCGGAACTACCTGAGGCGTCTCTAGCTTGAGGTTTGGGGACCATTGGTGTGTCGAGGCCTGGTGCACCTTATGTAGCTCCGGGGTCTCGGGTGTGCCCCGAAAAGCCGAGTCCCCTCCAGCCTGCTTATTATCTGGGATGCAAAAAGCATCGCAGCCATATGGGGTAACAAATGGGGTACCAGTGCAAGAGCAGGAAAGCCCCTCTGGGTTCTCCCCGTTAGACCTCGGGCCTAGATCAGCCTAACTGTGGAGGTACGGCCACTGGGACCTGCGGGCGTAAAGGCTGATACCCACTCCAATACAGTTCCAGCCGGGTTTAGGAGCACAGCGCTGGGGCCGTGGTGGAGGCGTGGCCGCCGCGGCGCGCGCCTGGGCCAGTCCCGCGAGACCCCGCCGGGGCGCGGCGCGTGTTGCTCGGGGCGACGGCGCGGGATTACGCAGGCGCAGTGGCATGCGCCCGCCCCGCCGGGCCTTCCCCTTTAAACAGAGCCCGGCCGCGTCGCCGCTTCATGAATGGAGCCCACGTGACCAAACATCATGTGACGTCTGAGGAGCGGCGGCGGCGGCGGCGGCGGCTGCGGCGGTTCCCGAGCCCGGTCCGGCCCGGCCTTCCCAGAGCGCTCGGCGCGGCCCGCGTAGGCGGCCAGCCCCTCACCCCAACCCCGGGCCCGGACCCTTCGCGCCGGTCCCCGCCCCGTGGCCTGCCCCGGCCTGCTGGGCCCGCAGTGTGGTGAGTGCGCGGGGCCGGGCCCCGGGCCGGGCGGGCCGGCGGGCGAGCGATGGGGCCTGGGAAGGGGTCTGTGGCGAACCCTTTCGGCGCCCCGGGCCTCGATTTCTCCACTGGTCAGGAGCTGGTTCTTGACCCTGGCGCCTGGGCGCAGCTGTGCCGGGCAACAGAGAGGACAGGCGCCGGCTCGCGCGCGGCGGACACCGGGCGCCCCGCGGGGGGCGCGGGGACAGGGCGGGGTCGAGTGGGGCGCGCGGGGTCCCGGGGTGCGGGCCCGGCGGGCCACTGACTCATCAGGTGTCGGTCCGCATCTCCCAGCGCGGGGTCCCGGCTGGCAGGGGCGGCGGCGGCGCGGCTCCAGCTCGCCACGCGCGTGCGAGCCCAGCGGAGACGTGCTGAGTCATCAGCATGAGGTCACTCGGTGCTCCTGCAGACGCCGGGCCGGGGCGGGCAAGCGGGTAGCCCCGGGGCGGAAGGCAAGATGCCGGGCGGCGAGGTCGCTGGGCCGCGTCTTAAGTTTGGCCGAGCTGCGAGTTAGAGGCAGGGGCGAGGAGGAGCACGAGGCACGCTTCTAACTTTCTCCCGGGTGGAAGGTGAAGCCTAGGCCTTCGCATCCCTTCCAGGCAGCTGGCCTTGGTCCCACGTCTGGGCCAGTTCCCCAAACTGGGAAACAGTTCTTCGAGTGAGAAGAGGGGAGGAGCTTAGGTGGGCAGAACCAGCCGGGCTGGGAAGCAGGCTTTCCCTGTGGCTGGGCTGGCCGGCCAGGCTGAGCAGAGGGGACCGAGGGGCAGTGGTAGACAGAGGGGTGTGTGGCACGGAGGAAGCAGGAGCAGCCGTACTGGGAAATGGCAGATGGGAAGCAGACCACCGACACAGCAGATGGGAGCTTCGGGTGCAGGCACAGGGTGAAAGGATGCAGTTGCCAGTCACTCCAGTGTTGTCTCCACCTGCGGTGTGCGGTTTCAGTGTTGCAAGAAGTTTGTTGACTTCAGAAGTGTGCCCTGCTGGGTGACCAGGCACGAGGCTCTTGGGAAGTGACAGCCTGCAGGTCCTGCAACCCGAATTAGCTTTCCTTAGAGTGTACAGAGTGTACGGGTGGTTGCTGATCTATTCGGGTTTTAGAGGTAGATAGGTGCTCACCTTCTGTACTGTGGCCCTTGCCCAGCTCCTGTCTACCTTAAACTGACCTTGTGGTTTTGCCCTCAGGATGCCTTCCAAACGTATAACACCCTGTTACTTTCTCCATCTCCTCCCACACAGCCCCACCAAAGTCTCGGGTTTGTAAGTGCCAGATGCTTTCACATTTCAGCTCATCTTTGAGGTGGAATTGTATGGCCTAGAACCATGGTGGTGAACCTGTGGCACTCGTGGTGTAGCCGGCTGTTTGTTATTGAAAGCTCTAAGTTTCTTTTAGACTGACCTAGCGTTCCATGCCAGGTTCCCAGGGGGGTGTTTCTTTAAGTCTTCCAGTTACATATGCGTTGGTGGAAATGACGTTTTAGATTTTTTTGAAGAATGTCTATGGATCACAGAGAGCTTGTAGAGGAAGTGCACCTGGAAGTTTAGGTGCCAGATCATCTGAGCCATACCTCTCTGGGATTTTGGCCACTGAGGTTTTCAGACCAGGGTGGAGTGAGAGCCTCTATCTCACCTGCCTCAGCTTGGGCTTTGTGGGAGGAAATGGAGCTGCCCCTGGTTCTTAGCCTGAGCGGGTGGCCTATAGTCCCTTGGTGGCTTGGGGCCCTTGTGACCATCTGTTCCTACTCTTGTGAGGTAGGCTCAGGCATGGGGGAGTGGAGTGGGAAGGATGCAGCCTTCAGGACCTGGAGGAGGGCTGAGATGGAGCCAGCTTCTTCCTGATCGCCTGGGGTCCCCCTCTGCTGCCCAGTCTTTGTGTTTCCCTGTTGGCAGAGGCTAAGCATGTGGAGCGTGGGATTTGCTGAGGCCTATCTCCCCCTCCACACACAGGAAAGCACACATGTGCACACCTTTGATTAAAGGCGATTGGCTGCACTTGTGCTGAGTTCAGGCCTTCTGCAGAGGGTGAAATCTGTTGAGGAGGCACTTTTTGGCTCCCAGCCGCCACACTTGGCACTTTTCCGTATGATCTCAGGAAGTCACCCTTGTCACTGTGCTCAGCAGTCAGGGTGGGGGAAGAAGGGGGTGGGAAAAGCCCGAACCAGAGCAGTGTCTCTGCACCCTAGTCTGTACTTAGGTCCTGGAGCTCCTCCAGGCTGTATTGAGAGAGGGCTTACCTCCTAGGGTGGGCCTGGGGCCAGCTTATAGGACAGATCCACTGAGGACCTTTGGCTTCCACCTCTGGTTTCCTGTCCCTTGATCTGGAAGGGTTCTTTCCTCTGAGATGCTCTTGTTGGCCTGACTTCTGAGGAGGTATCTCTGGCTTCCCCTGCTTGCTTTTTGCATGCAGCCTCATGTCCTGGTTTAAGCATAGATAAAGGTGGCGTCTCTGCTCTCCTAGGAACATATCCTTCTACCTTCCATGCCTATATTTTAGCTCCCCGGATGAGGGCCAGAAACACCCCCCACATACACACACATACACACTGTCCCCACAGCTCACAGTTGCTTGAGTCTGTGAGGCCTTCTGAGGAGACTCCAGGTTGCCTTATCCTCCAGCCACTTAAAGCTGACCTGCAAGGGGATGGAGTAGGGGGGTGTCCCTGCCCAAAGGTCTGGTGGGGCTGGACTGAATGGAGAGTCTGTGGACTAGGTGTACAATGAAGTCCGTGGCAGGGCTTCAGAGAGCCAAAAGTGAGGTTGGGATATCATGGGCAGCTGAGTTGGGACATCATGGGGAAGGTGGCCCTTTGGCTTTTGTTTCCTGACCTTCTGAGTACCTCAGACCCCAGGCAGGAGCCAGAGAACATTAGTGTGATCCAGAGAGGCTTACTCCAGGTTGCCTCAAGCTGAGCACCACCCCCAGTGGATAATTGCAGGGGCCCTTGTGAAACAGCCAGGGTGGAGTGGGGCAGGGGCACAGGATGCTGCAACCCAAAGCCACAGAATGGTTACTCCATCGCAGAGGAGGTGGACAGGGAGGTCTGGAGGAGCCTCAGGTCAGCTCCTCGCTGGAATCCCTTCACCTGGAAGGTGGGAACTCCGGACCAGAGTGCAGATGGAGCCAGAGCTTGCTGGATCACCCATTTCGGACCTCAGGAGTCTGGGAAATCAGAACTCCCCAGATCTCCAGGGGACCGGCCCTTAAACCCTAAAACCCTTAAACCCTAGAGGAAGCAGGGGCTTTGTACCAGCCTCTTCGGGAAGGGAGCTATAGGAGGTAGGACTCTGGATACACAGCACAGGGTCATCGGCTGGCCCTCACCTGCAGCTGGCCCACCTCCTGAGGCAGTCGGCTGGCCTCAGGAATGGCTGGGGTGGGAGGGGGGAGGGAGGCGATGTGCTGAGTCAGCGTGACTCGCCAGAACGGTGCGCTCTGGGGCAGCACTGGGGTTATTTTTAAAGCGCGGCTTCCTTCCAAGCTTGCCCCTCCCACGTCTGCTCTAATCGCTTCCCTCCCCCTTTGTCTAGCCCCTGCCTCCCTCACAGCCTTCAGTCCCCCTTCCCCCATCACATCTCCCTGACCTCGAACCTGGCTGTCTAGGGTCAGGGTTGTGGAGGAGCCCGGAGGAGAGGCAAGGCCCAAAGGCTGTCCTCAGTCAGGTATCAGGGGCATGGGCGGGTGATGGCCAAGGCTCTGGGGGGTGGGCAGCTGGGCAGCAGGGTCCCTGGTAGGGTGAGAAGGGAGTGTGTAGGTCCCCACATGACCTGGGGAGGGCAGGGCTGGGACAGTTGCTAGGTCTTGACCACGGCTCTGTGTCTTACAGAGTGCCTGCTCACTGTGCCCCCGGGTTATGACGACCCCCAATAAAGGAAACAAGGCCTTGAAGGTGAGCGGGCAGGGATGGGGAAGCTGGGGCTAGGACAGTGTGGGGATGGGCACCCCAGCTCTCCCATGACCCTGTGCATTATGCCGCCCCAGGTGAAGCGGGAGCCTGGCGAGAATGGCACCAGCTTGACAGATGAGGAGCTGGTGACCATGTCAGTGCGTGAGCTAAATCAGCACCTGCGGGGCCTGTCGAAGGAGGAGATCATCCAGCTGAAGCAGCGCCGGCGCACTCTCAAGAACCGAGGTTACGCAGCCAGCTGCCGTGTTAAGCGGGTGACACAGAAGGAGGAGCTGGAGAAGCAGAAGGCGGAGCTGCAGCAGGAGGTGGAGAAGCTGGCCTCTGAGAATGCCAGCATGAAGCTGGAGCTCGATGCCCTGCGTTCTAAGTATGAGGCCCTGCAGAACTTCGCCAGGACCGTGGCCCGCAGCCCTGTGGCTCCGGCTCGGGGCCCCCTTGCTGCCGGCCTGGGGCCCTTGGTCCCTGGCAAGGTGGCCGCCACGAGTGTCATCACAATAGTAAAGTCCAAGACGGATGCCCGGTCGTAGGGTTGTGTACGATTGCTGGGCAGTTCTTCGAGGGGCCACTGGGCGCATGGCAAAATTGACAGCCCTGTCTCTCTTCCTCTTTTCTTCCTTTCCTCCTCTCTTCCTCTCCCCCATCCTCCCTTCCCTGCAAAGCACAACCTGCACCCCAGGGGCACTGGGCTGAGCCCCTTTGATCTCATCGTTGTTGTGCGTGTGTTTTGTACATTGGGATTGGTCGGTTTGGCAGTGATGTTGGGTTGCCCCAACCCCTTTTGTACCAAGGCCATGCGGGGTTAGGAGTCCAGAGTGGGCACTCTAGGAATGGACAAGGAACAGACCGAGAGAGCAAGTGAGCAAGCTCACTAGGCCTCAGGTCTGCCCTCCTTGCGTGTGTGCCCACAGGCCCCACAGGCTGCTGGGCTGGGATGCGACTGGAGGGGTTCTCTTCAGACCCAGCCAGGCAGCTCAGCTCAGCCCAGCAGGAAGAGATGGGCTCTACTCTGAGAGTGGGATACCCTTGAGGGCCCTGGACAGGTGAGCCACCATCCTGGGCCCTGTGGGTGCTGGGCCAGGGGCCACAGCACTTGGGTCTGATGCGGTGCACTGAACAAGACCAAATCACTGGTTGTGAGTGTGTGTGGAGAGTGTGTCAGTGTGTCCTGCGATGGGTCCTGTGTCACTGTTTACATGACCTATTTGTGTGGTTATATAGCCCTTTATTTAAAAGAGAAGTTCCTTTTACGAAGTTATTAAATTATATGTTTAAGAGCTAAAGAGAAAAAAGCTGCAGAGTATTTATAAAATTGTCTTTAAAAAAAAAACATTTGACCATATAAATGGAAAAGGGAAGAAAGTATAATAGAAACTTTGCTAGTTTAAAAAATGAAAAAAAAAATCTCTTTCTTGTAAACTTATGGACAACTCTTTGTGGCTGTTGGAGTTTAGTTTTTATATACACAGAGTTATCAGACATTATTTATAAAACTTAGTTTAAAAAAGACAAAAAAAAAAAGCCAAGCCGCGAGCCGACCGACCGGAGGCACCCTCTTTGATATCTTTTGCAACTGTACCGAAAGTGACTTACTCTTCTGCCCTTCCTGCTTCCGTCTCTTGCCGGTGCCGTGGTGGTGCCGTGGTGTCGTCCGTGCCTGGTGAGGTTTTGTGCAGCCGTAAAGTGCTGGTGCTTCTGGTGACCTTTGACCTGTGGCTGTCCCTTCTTGTGTGTTCTCCTGTGTTTGTTTTTTGGATTTGGTTGTATTTCTTCTGCTGCTGGCTTGTCAGACCTGAGCTAGGCTGGGGTCTTAGGTAGCACCTGCTCCATCAGACGTGGCGGGGGGTCTCTGCCCAGCAGCCCAGGTTCTTCTGCTTTCAGCACCTGCCCTGTTCCTAGCTGATCTGCTGTGGGTCTCTGCCACTCCCACCCCTGCCTTGCTTTCCCGTGTTTCTGAAGCTTGGGCTGGTCCTGTGCTAGGGTATGGTGAAATTGAGAATCCATTTGGGGTCCCTGCACTGCTTCCACATCCACCACCCCTGGCCCTGGGTGGTGGTGATGCAGGGACCAAGGATTCACTGTGGGTGCCCGCAGGGTCATGGCCTAACTGTCCCTGGCTGTCTTCCTTCTGCCTTGGCTGTGTTTATATTGGCTTCATGAGGCGCCACAGGCAGGACCCCTAGGGCCCATCTTGTGGGTTTCACGTCCTACCATTTTCTTATCCTAAACTGTTTCCATGCTAAAAGGCGTGATGCTTCCCAGGCAGATTGGTCAGGGGCTCTGTTAAGGGCAGCCCCTTCCTCCTCCTCTGCCTCACTGTGAGGCCCCGGGTGGCTTCACCAGTGCCAGACAAGGGCTGTGACTCTAAACCTGGGTCTGTCTCTTCCCCTCTGGTCCATGCTGGCAGCTCTTTGCTCTGGGACCTCTTTCCGCCTCCCTTTGGAATCTGTCTTCCAGGGACCTGCTACTCAACTTGGAGGTGCTTCCTGTGGAATCCCAGCCCACCTCTCCGTTCCAGCTCCCTGGCAAACCCTCCTGGCTTCCAGGCTTGGCACAAGAAGCTCCTCATGGGTGTGTGGCCTGGGTGGGTGTTCATGTGCCCACCTGAAAGAGGCTACAACCTGGTCTCTAGCCACATGGGTCTTGGCCTCTTGCCAGAGTTGCTGGCATCTTCTCTGGGGCCCCTGGAGCCTGAAAAGCACAGAAATATAGGCTGGTGAGAGAAAAGACTATGGCCTGACAGGCCTTTACCTCATAGACAGCGGGATTTTCACTGAGTTTGATCTGCATGCCATGTGGTGGGAGCTGAGCACCTGTTGGCCCTGGTGCCTTGACAGGCACCTTTGGCTCAAGGTGGTCAGACCCTCCCATTGGTACCTGAGGCCGCTGCAAAGGGACAAGTGTCTATTGGCATCATCCCCTCCCTCCATGGGGTTAGCTAACTGGAATGCATACGTGAGTTGCTGGTGTTGGCTGTGTAGCAGTAGAGTGTGGCGCGCTGGATCATGCTAATCCCTAAAGAAGGGAGGGACAGGCACCTCATGTCCTTTGGTCCTGGCCGGGTGGTGGTGCCTCAGTGAGTGTGCCTTCCAGGTGCAGACCAGGGTGTACAGGAGTATGCTAATGACAAAGAGGAGGCTGGGGCTGAGTGGATGTTGACAGAAGTTGCAGGTTTTTGTTAAGTTTATAGAAGCTTCTAGAATTGGTAAGGCCATGCTTCCTTTGATGGTTTTTTGGATTTGGAACAATTGTTCCTTGGGTCGGGGCGTATTCTGGTTCCTTGTCAAGCCAGCCCTGCAGGATCACTCCACACCTTTGCTGCCATCTTGATTTATTGACAGTAGATCCTGTGTCCACTTGTGACTATTAGCTGTCTTTCTGATCCCTGTTAATTCCGTTTTCCTGCTGTGAGGATGTTGTGGTTTATTTTCATCTCTCACCTTTTCTGACACAGCGAATTGAGAACTTTGGCCAAGGCCAGGTCTCCCAAACTTGTCCGCTAAGTAAATCATAATGTGCGTCTTCCCTGCCACTTTGACTTTGCCCCTTATCCTCCTCTCCTGTCTTGAAATGTATACTCAGATTTCAGAGGAAAAACCAAGCGTGAACAGGTCAGCTCTTGCCAAAGAGTATGGCCCCAGGGCGCACCCTTCCTGTGGTCCCTGGCTGCTGCTCCAGGGTGGCGCTGCCCTCAGTTCAGGTGCTCTGTGGCCACTCTGCGCTGTGTGCAGGGTTTTCTCCTGGCACCAGGCCTCTCTGTAGGCTGCCCTTGGTCCACACTTGAGGTCCGTGTGCCTGCCTATGACTGTCAGCAGCAGCCTCAGTGGTCAGTGCTTGGGCTTAACAGCTTTGATAGGCCACAGCAGGCCACATCCCTGCTGCCTTCCTCTCTGGAGTGGCCACTTGGCCAGAGCTCCCAGCCACAGCTGGGAAGCCTGAGCCACAGCCTGCTGCACCACTTCCGCTCTGGGATCTTGTGAGTTACTTTTTTAGGCTGTGGTTTGGTGAAAGGAACCAACACATTAACGACTTTTTCTCCCCAGAAGCCACGAATAATTCTTGGCATGTTTTTGCTTTCCTGTTGGCTCTTCGGTTTTGGAGCAGTTGTGGAAAGCAGAGGGCATAATCAGTGGCACACAGAGGCGGGGTGTGCCCAAGCTTCCCATGGCCTGCCCTGCTTCTGGCCTGCATGACCTGGGTGTGTACTGTACCTGTTGGGTCAGCCACGTACACTTCTACCCCACCCCTGGAACATCCACGTTGGTATTATGGTTGTGGCCCCAGTCTGAGATGGAGTATAAGTGTTCCCAATGAGCTGTGAGACCTCCCTGTTTTTGGTGACCCTAGTTGGGCTCTCGACCCCACCAGCAGCCTCATGTCCCAGCCCTGCCCTTCCTCCTGTTCCCTCCATCTGCTAGTCCCTGAAGCCTTTAACCAAACGGGAGTGGGTACAGAAAGCCTTCTCCTGGCAACTTAGGGCAACAGGACAAGGGCTATTGTGTCCCACTCTGTTGGTCTCCTTTGAGGTGTGTCCAAGCAGAGTTCAGCTGAGGGCTGAAGCCAGGGAAACCTGGGATCTGCTGGGGGTGGGGGTGGGGATCTCTGAATATCTGAGTGAGGTGTGGTGGGCTCCGGCTGTGAGGGGTGAGGCCTGGAAGCCTGCACCAGTGTAGGGCGGCCAAGGGCCTGGCCTTGGTAGGCAGTCACCTCTGCCCACCTGTGCCCTGCGCAGTATTTATTGCTAAATTATTGTCCAGGAGGGTCGGCGGTCGGCCTGACCCCCCCGGGTATTTATTGCTGTATATAGTGTATGTTTGTGATATATAAGGTTTTCTTTATTTTGTATATGATCAATAAACGCCTTTTAAACAGACCAGCGAGTGCTTCTTTGGAGCAATGCGCGGGGTGAGGGGCCGGAAGCAGCGGAGCTAGGAGCCGGAAGGGGCAGGGTGGCTCTGACACGCGCATGCGCCCACGTTCTTGCCAGGCGAGGCGAGGCGGAAGCCGGAAGCGCGCGGTCCCGGGAGCGATGGCAGCTGGCGGTCTGAGCCGCTCCGAGCGCAAGGCTGCGGAGAGAGTCCGAAGGCTGCGGGAGGAACAACAGCGGGAGCGTCTCCGCCAGGTAGGCTGCCGCTGCCCCCACGCCCACTCGTATCTACACCGTCGCTCACCACCTGCCTGCCCTCCTGCAGGTGTCGCGCATCCTGAGAAAAGCGGCGGCGGAGCGCAGTGCTGAGGAGGGACGGCTGCTGGCCGAGAGTGAGGACCTAGTGACGGAGCTGCAGGGCCGAAGTCGGCGGCGCGAGGGCCTGAAGCGACGGCAGGAAGAGGTAAGTCCTGTCTGGCAGCTCTGGTGGGGCGGAGGGAGGGTTGGACAGGATGACCAGCCCCAGCTCCCTGCAGGTATGTGATGACCCCGAGGAGCTGCGGAAAAAGGTCCAGGAGCTGGCCAGCGCTGTCCGGAATGCCAGATACTTAGTGGTTTACACAGGTGCCGGCATCAGTACGGTAGGTAGGGCGTAGAGCTTCGGACAAGTTGGGGCGGTTGGGGCGGCCGGGCCAGGCCAGGTAGGTGTGGGGCGCCCCCTTCTGGCAGACTGACCTGGGACAGAATTTAGACTCATTCATCTTTTAAAGCAATTCTTCCTCAGTGCTACGCGAAAAGACTCACTTTAAAACTTAGCTAAGGCAAAGACTTTAAAAATGTGTGACCTATATGTGTCAAACAGGTGGAAACAGTGTAGTAACTGCTTGCTGGCCCCTCCTCTTAAAGTTGAGGACAGTTGATTGACCAGGATATGTGGACAGAGCTGACCTTCAGAATTTTCATTTCTCGATTCCCCACTTATTGCGCTTTCCCCACGTTGAAGGAAGGTAAGTAGAAAACAGGACAGAAAGAATCAGGGACGGGGATTTTTAGCTCAGTGGTGCCACGCCAGTCTCCCAAGCACAAAGTCCTGAATTGGATCCCCGGTACCAGAAAAAAAAAAAAAAAAAAGAATCAGAATACACCTGGTAAAGAAGAGAAATGCTCTGGGTTTTTCTCTTAAGAAGCTACCGGGCCAGGGATTTAGCTCAGTGGTTTCGCCGCCTGCTGCGCAAGCTCAAGGACCCGAGTTCGATCCCGGGTACCAAAAAAAAAAAAAGAAGCTACCCTGCGTCTGTGGAACATGATTAGCTTTGAAAGTGTGTCTGGTACCTTATCCGTATAATCTGATGGGTGAGTATGGAGTGTTAGGCAGATGTAGGCCCAACAGAGGTAAATACTAAGTGATTTCTGGTCTCAAGAAAGAAGCCCTTGGGGCTGGGGATTTAGCTCAGTGGTTCTGCCGCCTGCTAGGACCTGAGTTCGATCCCCGGTACAAAAAAAAAGAAAAGAAAAGAAAAGAAAGAAGACCTTAGGTAACTGGGCATGATGGTGCACACCTATAATCCCAGCTACTTGGGAAACTGAGGCAAGAGAATCAAAAGGTGGAGGCCTGCCCAGGCAATTTAGCAAGACCCTGTCTCAAATTTTAAAATGTCTAGGGGTGGTATGCATCAGGTCCTGGGTTTGATCCCTGGTACTTGAAAAAAAAAAGCTCTTAGGTGAAAGTAATCTCACATGTAAGCGTAATACAAAGATAACTTTGGGGTTACTGTCACACAAATCCAGATAGACTCTGAAAGGTGGGCATGGTGACTCGTGCCTGTATTCCCAGCTGTTCCAGAGGCTAAAGTGGGAAGATCTCAAATTCAGGCCAGCCTTTGCAATGTGGCAAGACCCTTCTCAAAGCAACCCCAAAACAAAGATGAAAATGACAGACACTGTATTCAAAGCTGGGAAGCCTTTTCCTGTGAGCTTGCTGAGGGAGGTGGCATTGAGTCAGAGCCTCAAGGGGTAAGATTTACAGGTGAAGGTGGGCATGAGGCACTACAAACAACAGAAGCCCAATAGCAAGAATGTGAAAGGTGCCTTCACTGTTCTAACTCAGATACCTGGAGCTGGACATCTCAGGCCCCTCTCTCCACAGCCACATGTAAAATCCAGTCATGTGATTGTTTAATGATAGTAGCTGGGCATGTTGGCACACACCTGTGATCCTGGCACTCTGGAAGGCTGAGGCAGGACGATTGCTGTGAGTTCCAGGCCAGCCTGGGCTGCATAGTGAGTTCAAGGCCAGGATGAACTACATAAAGAGACTCTGTCTCACACACACAAAAAGAGAAAACAAACAGTAACATGGCCTTTTGCAAAGCCTGCAGTGACAACTAAATGCAGAGAGTGGCTAGTCAGTTTGATCTGAGCTTTACTGTTTTGAGGTTCCTCTCTTGAATATGACAGTCTAATTACTGGTAAGGGCGGGTATTTTTCTTTTTCCTTTTTTTTTTTTCATACCAGGGATCCAACTCAGGTCCTTGCATTTTCGAGGCAGGCAGCAGAACCACTGAGCTAAATCCCTGGCCCTCTTTTTCCTTTTTTTGATACCGGAGATTGAACTTTGGTTCTTGCACTTTCGAGGCAGGCAGTGGAACCACTGAGCTAAATCCCTGGCCTGCAGCAGGTATTTTTCTGAGCTTAAGCAACAGTAAGGAGCCAGAAGGGAATGTAGAATGCCTGGGTCCTGGAGACTTTCTGCTTCCTTCTCTTGGGGATTAGTTTGTTTTGCTGGATTAAAAAGTTGGTAAATTAGATAATGTTTACCTTATCTAGAGAGGCTGTCTTATGTGTATTAAGGTAGAACAGGAGCTATGTAGAGCTTCAGGATATAAGAATTTTTGGAGATGGCCTGGTGGCACATACCTGTGATCCTAGCACTTGGGAGTAGAGGCAGGAGGATCACTGAGTTCAAGGCCAGCCTGGGCTACATAGTGAGTTCACGGTCAGTCTGAACTACATAGTGAGACCCTGTCTCAAAAAACAGAACAAACAAAATTTGGACAGAGGAGTACTCCTACCCAGGGGCCCACCATTAGCTAAACATTTTTTGAATGCTGAGCCTGCCCAGTCCACCTCAGTGTGGGGAACAAATGTGGCTGCAGAGCCCAGATCTGTACTAATTGCTAGAGTGGCTGGGCAAGGGGGTGTCGGGGCTCCATGGCACCTGGAATGGTGAGGTGGGCCATGTGGGAGGGAGTTAGGTAGAAAGAAGGGGCCATACTGGGGCACTCTCCGTTTTGGGTCAAGGTAGGTCAGCTGTCGGAGGAATAGGCCAGTTTGTGGGCCAGTGTGGAATGTAGCATGCCCAATTTTAGGGGATTTTTCCAGTCCTTACAGAGATGCCCTTTGACTGGACTTATCTTTTTTTCTGAATGTGCAGGCAGCTTCTATCCCAGATTACCGAGGCCCAAATGGAGTGTGGACACTGCTTCAGAAAGGGAGAAGTGTGAGGTGAGCAGCCCAGCGGCCTTCCCACGTGGTAGAACAGGGTTCGTGTGGGCCTGACTAGCGCTCCCTCACCCTGCTTTCCCGTCTGCCCAGCAGAGCTGCTGACTTGAGTGAGGCTGAGCCCACCCTCACCCACATGAGCATCACGCGCTTGCATGAGCAAAAGCTGGTAAGAACACCGTGGTTGGCATGTCCGCCAGGCCTGGGCCCAGAGCTGCCTCAGTGCTACTCACCTCTGCCACATGACTGCGCTCACTGGGTCAGACTCCTGTTTGATCCTGTGCCTCCCCAAGAAGAAAGGGCAACCCAATCCAGAACCCTTTTCTTTTGAGCCAGCCTCCAGCTCCTCTTGCATTATCCCAGGGGCCTTGGAAACAGCCCTAGCCGCAGGGGAGGCCTCTCAGAAACCTCCAGAGACCTGCTGAGCACCAGGTGGGGAAGGAGTAGACGTGCCTGGCCCCTTGGCAACCTGAAATCCAATGATGCAAGAGGGCATGAATCTGGGGCAGAGTGGCCCTGTCTGCCCACTTCTAAGTGCACAGCTGCTCCCCAGCCTGCTAGGGACAGTGCACACATTTGTTGTCCTGGTCACTCAAAGAGGAAGAACATGGTGCCCATCTGCTCACCACAGGGCTCTCCTGCTTCCCGGGGGATACACCTGCATGTGCTTTACTTTCTGAGGCTCTTTTTGGGGTTATGGTGACCTCTGGGTCTTGGGAGCTCTTGGCCACCCCCCTCCTGACTGCTACCATGTCTGCCTTCCAGGTGCAACACGTGGTATCTCAGAACTGTGACGGGCTCCACCTGCGAAGTGGGCTGCCTCGTACAGCCATCTCGGAGCTCCACGGGAACATGTACATTGAAGTGAGCAGTCCTGAGGGGACAAAGGGTCTGCGCGGCAGGTGGGTCTCACTCACTGTGCCCTTTGTCCTCAGGTCTGCACCTCCTGCATCCCCAACAGGGAGTATGTGCGTGTGTTTGATGTGACAGAACGCACCGCTCTCCACCGACACCAGACAGGCCGGACCTGCCACAAGTGTGGGGCTCAGCTCCGAGACACCATTGTGCACTTTGGGGAGAGGGGGACATTGGGGCAGCCTCTGAACTGGGAGGCAGCGACGGAGGCTGCCAGCAAAGCAGATACGATCCTGTGTTTAGGGTCCAGCTTGAAGGTACGCGCCGATGACACCATGAGCTCCCCAGGAAGTAAGATTGTTACCACCCTGTCTACCCAAACCCATCCAGTTGGCATTTGATTCACTTCTCCAGCCTTGTTTTCTGTGTGTGCTGTGTCTGTCTGTCCATCCATCCTCCAGGTTCTAAAGAAGTATCCTCGACTCTGGTGCATGACCAAGCCCCCCAACCGGCGGCCCAAGCTCTACATTGTGAACTTACAGGTAACTTGGGTGCTGAGATCTGCACACTCATACCCAGGCCTCAGATCAGAAGAATCAGAGAGAGATGTGCGCATTCATGAACCCTGGAAGTCTAGCAGAGGCCTGAGTGGGCCAAGGGGAATGCCGACTGAGCCAGAGACTCAAGGTTTACAGGCCTCTGTAAGGACTAAGGTTGCCCTCACTCACCTTTCCTGTCCTTAGTGGACTCCAAAGGACGACTGGGCTGCCCTGAAGCTTCATGGGAAGTGTGATGATGTCATGCAGCTCCTTATGAATGAACTGGGCTTGGAGATCCCCCTCTACAACAAGTGAGTGGATGTAGCCACATCACCACCACATCCCTGCCCCTCTGTGTGGTGGGCCGTGTCTGTCTGCTCCTGTGAGCCAAGTGTGAGGAAGGCCTTGAGTTGTGAGTGCTGACTGAGGTGTGACTGAAGTGTGATGGCAGCCAGAGGGACTGGCCTCCATGGCTCACTGAGGCGAGACTCCACACACACATACTTCTGCCTGGCTGTGTGCCCAAAGCCCTGCAGCCCTGGAGCGGGGATGGCCACTGTGTTCCTACACGACATTCCCGTTGGCCTGTCAGACAAACCTGGATGGAAAAGGGCCTTGAGGGGACGAGAACTCGGCAACTCTGGTCAGACAGAATCTCAGTGTCCTTGGTTTTGGGAGTTGGCATATTTGGGGGAAGCTTAAACAAAATGTCTTAATTCAGAATTTGTGATAATTTAGACTTGGTTTATGTATTGAGTAAAAAGTTTACACTTTCTTTCTCTGTGAATTTTCAGGGTCTTATAGGGGAAATCAATAACTTCTTTTAATCAAAGGGTTCAAGAAATTAAGGATCCCTTCACCTCTGGGCCTGGCAATTCTTGTATGTTATGTTTGTGGTGTTCTGTGACGTGGGCCTATTGTGTCCTGTATTTTTTTTTTACATTAACTTAGTTCATTTTCTTTATCAGTGCTTATCTGTATCTTACGTTTATAATCTGTGGTTCTACATCTCAGACACATGATTCCTTCACGGTGTAGTCTGTAGGCCACAGCTCCCTAGTCAGCTGGCCTTCCCTCCCTCCATTGCGGCGTCTGGGAAGGGGGAGAGGGTCTGGTCTACCTGCCCCTGGCCATGAGTGAAAGGTGGGGCCCAGGGTTGCTAGTGATTCACCCCTGGAGACGGAGGTGCCCTGGACTGCTGCCACCCTACCCTATGCGTGCACGGCCCACTGACTGGACGAGACACTGAGTTCTGAGGAGGCCAGCGAGGGCGAGTACTGCCCTGTGAGTTGCCACCCAAGGAGGTTAGCTCTCCTGCAGCTCTTCTGTAGCTCGGTAACAGGCACAGCTAAGACACGGGGAGGGGAGGGGAGGGAAGGCAGGTGACCTCCTCAGACAGCTTTCCCGTGCCGGGGTGGGTTGTGACTGAGCCCTCCCAGGCGCGCCTGACGCTGCTTTCCCTCTTTGGTAGGTGGCAGGACCCCATCTTCTCCATGGCAACTCCCTTGCGAGCTGGTGAAGAAGGCAGCCACAGTCGCAAGTCCCTCTGCAGAAGCAGAGAGGAGCCCCCACCTGACGACCGGAGCACCCCACTTAGCACAGCCCCCATCCTAGGGGGCTGGTTTGGCAGGGGCTGCGCCAAACGTGCAAAGAGGAAGAAAGCAACATGACCTGGTGTTGACAAAGAACAACTGGCACTTTGAAAATGGCTGGAAATTTTATTCTGGGGCAAGTGACACTGCAAAGCCAGCTTGTCCTCGTGAAGTCTAGTGTGAACTCCTGGGTGACATTTCACGTGACATTTTTAGCCATCTGCCCCGCGGGAAGCCCCCTTGCACTGCTGTGGTCCCCTCAATGTGGGCTTGACCTGAGGGCACCTTCTCTACCCAAAGGGGTGGCTGCTGGCCTTCCTGTGAGAACAGCGCGGGTTCCGGGCCTGGCTGCAGAGCAGCCCGCAGCTGCCTTACCTCACTCACCCAACTACTCTCAGGGCCTCCTCTATTTCTACTTTTTTTTTTTTTGGTACCTGGGATCGAACTCGGCTTCTTGCGCTTGCGAGGCAGGCGGCGGAACCACTGAGCTACATCCCCGGCCCTATTTCTACTACTTCTTACTAAATGTTAACTTTATAGAACCTGTCTGTGGTGGGTGTGCAGCAGGGCGGCGATTCTGAGCCTCCCCTCCGCTCTGGACAGACCTTCCTTATTAAACATCTGCACTGTCTTCCTGTCGGGTGGCTGCTCCCCTGCTCATCTGGGCGCCCCTTTGGTTGAGGGCCCCTAAGCGGGCGGCGGGAGACACCCCGGCGCGGTCCTCCCCGCCCAGCCAGCAATTCGGACTGGGGGCGGGGCGCGCCCTTGGCTCCCGGGGGTGGTGGGGCGGACCTGGGCTGGCGGCCCTCCGTATTGGCGGCGGGGGGCGGGGCGAGGGGCGGGCGGCGCACGCCATTGGTCGCGCATGGCGGGTGAGGCCCGCGTGACAGTTCGCGCGGAGAGCTGGGCGGGGCCGCGGCGTTCGGAGTTTCCGGAGCTCCGGGACCGCACCGCCACCCCAGGACTATGATCCGGAACGGGCACAGGACAGCGCCCGGCGCGGAGCGGCGGGGTCCGGGGAGTAGGAGCGCCGTGCGCGTGTGGTGCGATGGCTGGTGAGCGGGGCAGCGGGCGGCCTCCTCCCGGAGTCACGCGCTGGCCGTTGTCCTGGGCCCGGCCCCGTGCCGCGGTCGACCCTGGCTGGGACCGAGAGGGACCTGGCCCTACGGCTCTCTGGGAGGCACCCCCGCGGCCCCGCAGTGGCGTCCGCCGGCCTGGGACCTTCCGGGCCTGGGGTTTGGCGCTGGGGGCCGCAGTCCAGCTAGTCCTTTGGTCGCAGAGATGGGGAGGGAAGCGTGCAGTTGCCGAAGCCACCGTCAGTGTCCTCCAGGGAGGGTGAGGTGCTTCCCACGGGCGGACAGCAAGGGGCTCTGGGGGTGGTGGAGCGCACAGGCCTCCGGGCTGCGGCGCTGCTGGGATTCGGCAGGCTTCTCTGGCAAGTTGAACCAGGGCATTGGTGTCAGAGAAGCTGAGGGCTGTCAACAAGTAGAAGGACAGGTAAGCTCTTCTAGAAACTTGCTGCCTTCAATTCCTTCACGTGCAGTGACTGACAGAAGTGGGGAAGGAACTGGACGGTCAGCCGGTGGCTCCTGGAGGCTTGGAGGGGAGGAGGCACGCGCTTCATTTGCATCTGAGTCGCCTTGGGGGTGGGAACGTGGCTGCCAGTCGGTGGACCCTGACCTTGGCCCTGGCCGGGGCCACAGCCCCTGGACTTCCCACACCCTCCCTCCCTGCTGTGTTCCCTCCCCCGCCCGTCCAGCCGGCGTGGGTTGGCCACACTTCAGTCTTGTCTCCTGGGCCCCTGCACTGCGGTAGTGGGAGTGAGAGGGAGGGGGCAGAGCACGCAGGGCAGGACCGGCCCACAGAGAAGTGCTCTGGCGGTCACCAGTGCACACGAGAGCCCCATGAAGAGGGCTTGTGGCCAGGCCCGGATTTGAGGATAAAGAGCTCTAGAACTAGGCGACACAGGCAGTTCTGCACCAGAAAGCTGCGCTAGGCCGTGAGGGACAAAAACAGGAATTTCAAAGCCAGTGTCCTAGACCCTTGCCTTCTGATTGGGTTTTTTTGTTTTGTGTTGGCCTCGGGGACTGAACCGCCCGCTTGTGTCAGAGTTAATGTTGGTTTATTTTAAAGTTTAAAATGACTGACCTAGCCAGGCATGGTGGTGCATGCCTGTAATCCCAACACCGGGGAGGCTGAGGCAGGAGGATCATCATTTGTTCCAGGCCAGCCTGGGCTACACAGTGAGACCCTGTCTCAAATAAATAAAGCGACTGACCAGAGCACTTTGTATTTGGTGATGGGAGGGAACAAGGACAGAAGATCCAAGGCATTGGAAATGGCCATGCAGCTCCCAGTGGGAGAGTTGGTCCTGGGATCTTGACAGCCCTGGAGACCTCATTAGCCTTCCCCTTGCATGCTGTACCCTTGCCAGACCTGGCACTGATAGCAGACTGCTCAGAGGCTGGGGATCTGGGGGTGTGCACAGCTGAGTACCCACCTCCCCTCTGAAAGGCCAAGGCGGGCTGGGGCATAGGAGCAGTTCCAAGTGGTGGTTCTCCAAGGACTTCCTAAAGAGGTCTTGAAGGAGAAAAGCCTGCTCTATCACAGGCCTCCTAGTCCCTGCTTCCTCACTACAGTACTTGACTGGACTATCTGTTCCCACAGCTATGACATGGTGCATTATGGCCACTCCAACCAGCTGCGCCAGGCTCGGGCTATGGGCGACTACCTCATTGTGGGTGTGCACACTGACGGTAAGGTGTGGGCTGCTGGGCCTACCTGTCACCCTGCAGCCCTCTTGGGGCCACCCCAGCTGACCAAAAGCCTGCAGGATCTGGGGTTGGGCAGGGCAGGCCCAGGTAACCCTCCCCAGAGCACACTGTGAGTGAGAAAGGTTAGCAAGCTAGGCCCAGCCAGACCCCAGCTGAAGATGGCCCAAGGTATAGAGAATAGGCTGGTAGAGTCCATGTGCAATGCTGTCACTGGACCAAGTCTCTCTGGCTGTGCTGCCCATTCCCCTCCAGCCCTGACCTGGCTCCCAAGGCCTACAGGGACTGGCACCTATCCTGGGTCGAGGGGCCATCCTGTTACCCAGCAGAGGCTCTGAGCATCTCTGCTGGCCAGAGAACAAGCACGTGGTCCTGACCTGTGGGACCCTCAGCGCCAAGAGTGACTGGCTGCCCACCATATGCCCACCTGTGTGGTCACAGGTCTGGTCAGTATAGGGAAGCAGGTTCCTAAGGAAGCCAGCTAAAGGCCATTTGTCTGTCCTTGTCCTTTTCTCTGGCCCTAGAGGAGATCGCCAAGCACAAAGGGCCTCCGGTGTTTACCCAGGAGGAGAGATACAAGATGGTGCAGGCCATCAAGTGGGTAGATGAGGTGGTACCTGCAGCTCCCTATGTCACCACACTGGAGACACTGGACAAGTACAACTGCGACTTCTGTGTTCATGGCAGTGAGTGGGCGGGACTTGGGGACAAGGGCTGGGCCCAGGCCCAGACCTCCTGGTGTGGCATCTGGAAATGGTGGGGATCTGAAAAGGATCTGGATCCCTTCCCAGAAACAAGCACACTGTTTCGGGGTGGGGGGTGGGGGGGTGTCCTGGACCTTTGGCGGGCTCTGGGTTAAGAATCCTTATTTCTGTGTGCATGTCACCCCGAGATGACATCACGCTGACTGTAGATGGCCGTGATACCTATGAGGAAGTGAAGGAGGCAGGGAGATACAGGTAAGTCCCAGGCAGCCCCATGCAGACAGCAGGGCACAGGGTTCTCTCCCAGCTCGAGCGTGGCTGCTCTGCAGTCGCCTATGAGAGGAGCATCTGGGCCTGTGGCCAGGGCTGGCAGCTGTGGCAAGGAAGGTGCCTGTTGTGGGTGTGGGTCTGGCAGCCCGGCTCCATAGCAAAGATGATAGCATTTTTTTTTGGTGGGGGGTACTGGGGATCAAACTCAGGACCTGGTGCTTATGAGGCCGGTGACAGGACCACTGAGCTAAATCCCGGGCCCAGTGGTAGCATTCTTAGTAGGCACTGTGTTAGGGGCAGCCTCAGACTTCATGCAGCTATTGAGCACTGCAGCACAGCTGGTGCCTCTGAGGAGCTGGCTTTTAATTAACTTTAAAGACCCAGCTGTTTTCAGCGGCTCCACACTGCAACCTGGAGTCCCTTTGGCAGAGAACGTGCGCTGGAGCAGGACCTGGGGACAAGGGGGCCCCAGTCTGGCCTGTCACTCCTAGGCACTGCGGAGTGCCTTCATGTTGCTTTAGTCCTGTGGTTTCCTTTAAAGGAAGAAAGCACAGTGCTTTCTCCTGCTTCTCATCTGGGTTTTCCCTTGTAGCCGAGTACAAGGAGGAGACACCAGTGTCGGGTCGGGTGAGGGTCATGTCCCTCAGGTGGGGCCTGCTGTAAGCAGAGCCTGGGTAGTGTGTCCAGGATGCAAAGCCCCTGACCCCGCCTCTGCCCCTCAGAGAATGCAAGCGCACCCAGGGTGTGTCTACCACAGACCTCGTGGGCCGCATGCTGCTGGTGACCAAGGCCCATCACAGCAGCCTGCAGGTGAGTCTGCAGGGACTACAAAGGGTCTGTGGGTTCCTAGTGGAGGACACTACAGCCCGGGCAGGAGCTCCACTCATCATCACCCCAGGGCTTCCTGCCCTGCCTCTCAGTGCCCTCTCCCCACGTACAGGAGATGTCTTCTGAGTACCGCGAATATGCAGACAGCTTTGGCAAGGTAAGTGGCCGCCCAGGGAGTGGAGTGATGCCTGCTGCCACACTGCCACGGGGCTTGCTTGGACCCACCTCCCTGGCCTCCCTGCTTTGGGGACGGGTCAGCTCAGAGCTTCACTGTCAGCCCTCCTCCTCCCTTCTCAGCACTGACCAGGCACTGACCACCAGGCACTGACCACCAGGCCTGGCCAGTTGGTGGATGCTGGGCAGGAAGACATGCAGGCAGCCTCTAACCAAGTGGCCTGGCCCTCTCTCCCTTTGTAGCCCCCTCACCCAACACCTGCCGGGGATGCACTTTCCTCAGAAGGCTCCTCCCAGGTGACCAAATGGTGGCCTTGAGGTGCTGGGTCCCGCAGAGGGCTGTGCCCTCCAGCCTTCATTGAACTTCTTTCGGTGGTGGGGCGCCATGCTGACCTGGGGCAGTCACAGTGGTGGTGGCCAGGCCTCTGCTGTTGACCAGCTCCCTCTCTCGGCTGACAGTGCCCTGGGGGACGGAACCCCTGGACAGGGGTGTCCCAGTTCCTACAGACGTCTCAGAAGATCATCCAGTTTGCTTCTGGAAAGGAGCCCCAGCCGGGGGAGACTGTCATCTACGTGGCTGGGGCCTTTGATCTGTTCCGTATCCTCTGCAGGCCTCCGCTGTGCCATACCCACGTGTGGGTCGGGGTGGGGCTGCCTGGGTACAGAGGGACGCCCATCACCAGGGAGAATGGTGGTGGGGCCAGTGGGCATGAGCTTTTGGGGGCTCAGAGCTACTTATCCTCCCTGCCTGTTCTTGCCTCTTAACTTGTCACAGACATCGGGCACGTGGACTTCCTGGAGAAGGCACACAAGCTGGCAGACAGGCCCTATGTCATCGCTGGCCTGCACTTTGACCAGGTCTCTGCTTGCCCGCTGGCTCTCCAGCACCCAGGCTGCTGAGAGTCTTAGAAGCCCTTGAGAGAAACCTGGGGTCAGTGTGGGCTCAGGTGGCCTGTGGAGGCAAAATGGACCCCTGGGGCAGAGTCTGATTCTCTGGAGTTAAGGACTGTTGTGTCTGGGTGTTCCTGTGAGGGGCCACCTTTCCCAATTACTGCTCGCCAGGGACAGCAGGGAGGGAGGGCAGTTTGCCCGCCTGAGGTTCTCGAGCTGAGCCAACCTCACTCTGCCCATAGGAGGTCAACCGGTACAAGGGGAAGAACTACCCTATCATGAACCTGCATGAGCGGACGCTGAGTGTGCTGGCCTGCCGGGTGAGAGGGGCCCCTTCCACACTGAGGCGCCCAAGGGATCCCGGGGGGTGCAGAAGCCTTGAGCTCCCCTGGCCTGCAGGCCAGGCATGCTGCCCTGTCGTTGGCTTGCTTGGAGCCTTGGCCCTGTGCTGGGGCCGTCCCCCGCCAGCCCCAAGCCCTGGCTTTCCTGAAGCAGGGACTCATCGAGCCCCTCTGCTCACTGTCCCCACAGTACGTGTCCGAAGTGGTGATTGGGGCGCCATACCCAGTCACAGCAGAGCTCCTGGGTCACTTCAAGGTGAGGCTCCCTGTGGGCAGGCACATGGTGCTGCCATGGCTCCAGGGAGGCGTCGGGGATGAGGGCTGGGCAGAGCTGGCACACTCAGGCCCAGGCCCTGCCTGGGAGGTGTGGGTGGTATGGCCTCCCTGGGGAGGCCTCCTGACCCCTTCCCTCCCCAGGTGGACCTGGTGTGTCACGGGAAGACAGAGATTGTGCCCGACAGGGATGGCGCTGATCCCTACCAGGTGGGTTGCACTGACCGTCCTTGGGTCAGGGCTGGCAGGCGCCTAAGCCTCACCTCCCTCTGGGAAGAGCACGGCCGTCCTTGCCTGCAGCTCGAGGCAGCAGGCTGCAGTCAGGAGGAGCCTCACTCCTCCCTCTTCTTGAGGCTTCTAGGAACCCAAGAGAAGAGGCATCTTCCGTCAGATCGACAGCGGCAGCAACCTCACCACAGACCTCATTGTGCAGAGGATCATCAAGAACAGGTAGGGCTGGGGATTTAGCTCGGTGGTTATGCCACCTGCTTTGCAAGCATAAGGTCCCCGAGTTCAATCTCAAATACCAAAACAAAAAAAAGAAACAAGAACAGGTACCCCATCGAGGGGGGTCCAGTTGGGGGGCAGTGTGTACCTGCCAGTGACCACAGGTCCCCTGGCCTCGTTCACCCCTGCCCCTCCCCCAGGTTAGAATATGAGGCTCGAAACCAGAAGAAAGAAGCCAAGGAGCTGGCCTTCCTGGAGGCCATGAGGCAGCAGGAGGTACAGCCCACAGGGGAGGATGAATAGACTGCCAGCCCGGAGGACTGTCTCGGAGAGCCTGGGCACCGAGTCCCTGCTGCACTCCGCTTCTGCATCTTAGCACCCATGATTCTGAAGGAAGCAGGCCCTGGCTGGCCACTGAGGACCAGCATGGGGAGCACTCCTTCTGCCTGCAAGGGGCCTGTTCTGCAGCAGGCTCTCAGTTCTTCGAACACCGGAGCAGGCCAGCCTGCACGACAGCAGAGGGCACCTGTGACCCAAGTGTGCTGCTCCTGTCTGCTTCTGCTGAATGGGTTCCGGCTGCAGCTCCCCTATCCTGGACGGGCATGCCCTTCCTCCTGGCTGGAGGCTGCACTGACTGTCCATCCAGCTTCCATGGGGGCACAGAGAGGACAGCCTTAGGGAGCTATGGCCCTGGGGCTGGCTGTCCTCAAGTGGGCACACTGCCCTGCAGCATGTCCCAGCACCCCTTCCCTGGCCCTGCCCACCTGGGCAACCTCATCACCCTCCCACAGACCTTTGGCCCTCCATTCTGTACCTCAATGGCTGGTGTAACTCACTGCAACTGAATAAAGCTTGGTGGGACATGTTGTCTGGCTCCCAGCCTGGAGAAGGAACAGGGAACTGTCCCACCCTGCCTGTGGTGAAAGTCAGCTCCAGGTGCCTCAGGGTGCTTCCAACTGCCCCCTCCAGGGGCTCCTACAGGAGGCCAGGAAGCCTAGCAGTTCAGCCCCAACCCTAGGCTCCTCCACACAGCTATAGGGTCTCAGTCTGTCACCTTTGCTGGTGAGCAGCCCTGTCACTGCAAGGGGAACCTCTTGATGGTGGCTATGAAGGAGACAATTTAGTTGTTTTTGTACCATTCTAAAAAGGATGAGTCGGGATGGGGCCCAGTGGTGCAGCATTTGCCTAGCACGTGGGAGGAAGGCCCTGGGTTCCAACCCTGGCTCTACCTGTGGATGCCCAGTCAGTTTGCCTCTGGGCCACTTGGGGGAGCTGGTGGGCTCCTGCTGAGGAAGGTGGGCCTGTCCTCTTCCATAGCTCTAGCTATTGAACCTGAGGTGAGGTCTACTAGGGCACATCCCAGCTGGGCAGTCACTCCTTCCCCTTTGGGCCCTCAAGTTCAGGAGCAGAGGGGTCACCAATCCCCACAGACTCCAATGGCAGGGGTGCAGGGCTGCCTGGCTGAAGGCTGGCGAGGGGGCAGACCCAGCCCTGGCACAGCTGGCCCTCAAGTGTGCTGCCTCCTGAACCCAGGCACTGGGTGCTACAGGAGCAAGAATCATGCCACATCCAGCCATGGCCCTTGGTAGAGGACCAGGACACCCTGCAGGCAGGCTCTGGACCTCTGGGACCAGAGGTGGGGGGGGGGGCATTCAGAGGCCCCAAATCCTGCTTCTGCTGATTGGCTCTAAGACCCAGACTCCAGAGCCCTTAAATGGGGATGGCTACAGGCAGGCCCTCAAGGCCTTAGGGGCTGCTTCTGCATGGGTGCAGAGAGGGTGGGCCCAGAGCTCCCAGGCATGGGAGGGGGCTGAGCCAAGCTTGTGCCCACTGGGCAGCCCAGGCCACCATGGTAGGTCGTGCCCTCGACCCTCACCCCAGTCTGAGCACCTAGTTGCCCCTGTGCCTGGCCCAGCCTGGAAGCCCTGGTCCTGTTCATGCATTCACTACTCGCAATGGCTCTGCACTCAGTGCTTAAAGATGTCTGGGGGATTCTAAGGGGTGAAACCCAGGGATGGGACCGGAAGCTAGTGTCACTAGGGGCAGGGTAAAACACAGGGCCTGCAGAAGGGACCCAGGAGCTTTGGCTGTTAGGCGGCTCTGAGAGCCAAGTAAGGCAGGGGCCCACGGGAAGTTCCACAGGAAGGGTGATAAGAGTCACAGTGGCGGGGTGTTTTAGGAGAATGGCACAGCAGAAATCGTGCGGGGGGTGGGGGGGTGGCTCTGGAGGCAGTTACCCAGGTTCCTGGCCCCTTCTGGCTTTGTGGAGGGAGGCGAAAGCCCCAGCCAGCCACCTGGCCAGAGGAAGGGTGCTCCTGCCTGACAGGTCCCGAGCAGAGGGCCTGGGTTGCGAGTCCAGGCACCCACTGGGGGTTGCATTTGTCCAGGCCCCCAACCCCCACCAAGCCCCATGACCCCGTTCAGCAACTCTCAACTGGAGACCAGCTCTGCTTCTCCTTTATCCATTTAACCATTACTGAGGGCTGGGTCGGGTAGGAGGGTTCGGGGTGCCATCCCCGCGGCGGGGCTGGGGGTCCGGGCTTGGGCCAGTGGGCGTCGGGGGGGGACCCACCGGGGCCAGGCGGGGTCAGGCTTCAGGTCCGAGGCTCAGGCGGGGCGGCAGTCGGTGGCGCGCAGCGACAGGAAGACATCCGCGGTGCACTGCAGGGTCCCGCGGTCGTCAGGCAGCCGCTCGCAGTTCTGCAGGTGCGGGGCGACGCCCTGGATGCATATGGTCGTGGGGGGCCACCCGCGTGCGCTGGCAAGGGTTCGCAAGCCGGGACGCATCTCCCCGGAGGCACCAGCTCCGCGTGGGGATCCCGAACCAACAACGGGCTCTGAGCGCCGCGCAGACGGTACCCCGCGGAAGCCTGACAGCAGCCCTGCAGCACGGCCCACCGAGTAGTGGCGGGGGCCGGCCGACGGCTTGTACCACGCGAGGCCGGGAGGCCCCAGCAGCAGGCAAAGAAGCAGGGCGCCGGCCACCAGCTTCGCGCGCCTGGCCATCTGGACGCAGACGGCGGCGGTGGCGGCAGCAGCGGCGTCGAGGTTGAGCCGTGAGCCTCCTCGCTTTATATCCGTGCTGGAACCGGCGCCCGGCGAGGGCGGGGCCACGCGGGGCGGGGCAGTGAGTGCGCATGGAACGGGTCAGCGCCACGAGCGCAGGGAGCGCAGAGGCCCGCGCAGGGTGGGCCCGCACCGCTTCGTGCTCAGATGCAGACCTTCCCAGACCCGCAGCCAAGCCGATCCAGCCGGGGTGGCGTGGCAGTACTAAATGGTCACTGACCCTAAGTGGCATCGCGCGCGTCTCCAGTTCTCCTGCAGCTGTAGAGCAAGCTACAGGCTATACGGTGCTCAGGAGGCGCAAGGGGAAGCTTTCCCACCCTATGGCCAGAAGCATCAGAAAGTCCATGGGTGGGCACGGGAGCCATCTGCTGATTTGTCCCTATGGGGAAAGGTTTTACTACTGGCCTGGTCGTAGGAGAGCTGCAAAGCCAGGCCTCAAGGCGGGGAGAACCAGACCAAGGTACCGCAGGTCAGAGACATGAGTGGCCCGGGAGTGTCTCCCACCCGTGTGCCTCTGGAGCCTTCTCCGTACCCATTCAGACACTCCACGTGGACGGAGACGTTGCCCAGGGTCTAAGTAGGACCAGTGGCAGGGGCGATGAAGGGTGTGCCCAGGGAGACAAAGCCAGCCTGCAGAGGTCGCTGGGGTGACCCTCCCCCAGGAGCTTCTGTCTGCCTGCTGAAGGAGGGGGAAGTTACCGGGTGTGATGAGAACCTTGCAGGGGTCCCAGCTTCCTGGGAGGAGGCAGAGAGCAGAGGGCAGGAGTCAAGAAAGATGTGCACGTGACTACAAAGTCCCGAGTGTGGGGTCTGGCAGGTGAAGAGGGAGCAGGGCTGGCCCTGAGAAAGAGTGGGCTGGAGCCCAGGGACAGCAGATGGGAGGGACTCAGGTGGCAGAGAAGCGAGGCGGCTGTGTGGCTGGGTGGGTTAAGAAGTGAGCCTGAGGCTGAGCTGGTGTCACACATGTGATTCCAGCACTCAGGAGGCTGAGGCAGGAGGACTGCTTTGAGTTCAAGGCCAGCCTGGGATACACAGCAAGACCCTGTCTCAAAAAACAAACAAAAAACCCAAAACAACAACAACAAAAAAAAGTGAGCCTGAGAAAGCTGGATCGATGGGAGCATTTCCTGTCCCGTGGGAAGACACTTCTGAGAGGATGAAGATACAGAAGGCCAAATTCCCTAAAGAAGGTTCCCAGGAGTGCGGAGGGCAGGCCGGAGGGAGACAGGCTGGAGTCGGGCCTGGACCTTGGGAAGCCCGGGAAAATCCAAAGCCACAAATCTCTCTGCAGGCCCCAGAAGTCCCAAACTCAAGTTAGGTCCCTCTCTTCTAAGCCGTGGCCCTTCCTGACTGCCAAGGGCTGGTGCCAGTCCCTAAGTGTCCTAGGGAGAGATAATCCTTAGGAGGCTCCTCTTTCTGCCACAACTGGGGGCTGGCAGCCCCAGGGGAGCAGCAAGGCAGCCTGAAGCATGCTCAGCTGCCAGGTACACGAACGGCTGTCCCAAGAGCCCTTCCCAAAGTCTGTTCTCTGACCCCGGTGCTGTGCTGGTGTGAGGCCCTCTGCACTCTCACCTGTCCTGCAGTCCTGACGACAGAACAGGCAGGTGCAGGGGCGGGGCCTGCAGGTCACCTGTCAGCATGTGTGTTGGCTGGGAGCCACACTGCAGCCAGCCAGCAGCCTAAGACCGGCCCAGCTGCCTCTGCAGCCCATGTGGGGACGAGGGGAGCCTGCTCAGCAGCATTGCCTTCTCCCTGGAGGCCTATGAAGAACAGTGGTCAGCTGCATTCTGCCAGGGTCTGAGGGAGGGTTCCAGCCTGGCCTCCCCATTCCTCCTCCACTGGCACAAACATACCCCAAGGCCTGTGCCCAGCCGGGCCCTGCCCTAGGCTCTTCCATCTAATCCTGGCCCCCTCTGCCCAAGTGATGAATCAGGCTCTGACATGGGCCTCATCAGGATGTTTATTCATGAGTGTTTTCATATATCAGTGTGTCAAGACAGACACCCAGAGGCCTCCAGCAAGGTTTGGGTGCTTTAATGAGCCTTACTTATTGGATAAAAGTGTCAGCATTGTGATGGAAAAAAACAAAGGAGGCTCCAGTCCTCGTTTCAACTCTGTCACAGCCCAAGGGGGACTGTCGCTGGTAGAGGCCGCAGCCATCATGTCCCAGGGTAAGGAAGAGCTCTGAGGAGGCCATCTGGAGGAGGGGATGGATTTCACTCCTTGAACTTCCACTCCTGGCGGCACATTGGGCAGTGCTGCTGCACCTGCTGCGCATTGAGCCACTTGAGGATGCAGTGCATGTGGAAGCAGTGTGAGCACTGGCCCCACACCAGGGGGCAGTCATCACCAGGCACCTTACCTGTGGGTGGACAGGGTTGAGTGTTTGACAAGGCAGGCAGGGCCCCAGGGCATCAGGCAGTGGCTCCACCCTGGCCAGAACCTCTTGGCTGCCAGAGACACACAGAGGTGGGGCTCTGGCTTGCCCAATGGGTCACGCTGTGCCCTAGAGGCTGGCTCATCTGTGGACACTTAACTTGTGATGGCAAGAGGTCCACGTACCCGGCAGATACCATCTGAGCAGCGAGGTATCTGTCCTGGTCAAGGGTGGTGGGGGGACCTAGAAGATTCCTTCCCTGGGTTTCACATATCCAATCCACTACACAGGCTTCAGGGACACCGTGGGGTCTGCGGCCAGCTCCCAGTGGGCCCCAGCAGCAGCACAATGCTGCTGTCTTCCACCTTCCTGGTGCTCCACATCAAGGCTGGGTCACAGGCTGCAGTCATCCACCCACAGGTCTGGCCACACTTCCTCCACAGAAGAAGGCTTGGTGCAGAGGGGGAAACTATATCATGATCAAAAGAGACAGCTGCCTCTGTGTCCACATCAGGGTCAGTCTGGCACTGGGTATTCAATCTTGCTACTCCCCAGCCGTCCTGTGGCACCTGCCCTGCATTGTATGGGCTCCCAACCCCTCTGAGATCCCCCTCCCCAGGGCCCTGGAAAGCACTCTGTGCCTGCCCACCCTGGGAGGGCTGCTGCGGAGGAAGAGCTGCCCTCTTAGGCAGTGCTGCAAGCAGCCTGCCCAGGGCATCTGATGAGCATGAATGTGCAGGGTGACTCACACAAGGACTTGCCAGTGGCTTAATGCGATTATTATTTTTTAATTAAAACACCTCTCAATCAGATTGCTTTATCCTGAAGCCCCTGGGACATGGGATTTATTACAGTCTGAGTCACTCTGGATTGTTCACAGGAGTTCAATTTTAGTAAGAAAAACCCAGAGCTGCTTAACTAACCTATCCAGAAAGTACATCAGACCATCAAACCCATGGTATATGAAAACTGGCTCGCTCTAACTTGGCCATGGAGTCCAAGAATTGGTCTAAGTTCCCTTTTCTCTGAAGCCTGCAGGCCCCGTTTTCACACAATCTGAGCACACTGCTCAGGTGAGATGCTGAGTGCTCAGCCCACCTAAGATCCTATCTAAACAGCCCAGACACAGACCCAGGAGGCATGGTCAGGCTGGGCTCTGAGGGCCCTGTGGGCCTGTCACCCCTTTGGTCAAGCAGGGGCAGGCCGCCTGGGACCACAGAGCTGTTTCTGGTCTGCATGCTCAGCAGCAGATGCCCGGCCTGTGGGCAAGGCCAGAAGAGGCCGGGAGTTGCTAAAATGCTTTTGAGGACTTTTACAAAGTTAACAGCCTGGAAGCTTCTGGAAGCTGAAGTGCTTACCTTGAGGCTCCCCCAGTCTACCTGGCACTTTTAAGAGTGATTTAAGGAGGGGCCCGGGGATTTAGCTCAGTGGTGCTGCACCTGCCTGGCAAGTGCCGGTCCTGAGTTCAATCCCCAGTACCTTGGGGGAAAAAAAGAAAAAGTGATTTAAAAGGGGTTAAATTGGGGCCAGGGATTTAGCTCAGTGATTCCGCAGCCTGCCTCACAAGCGCAAGGGCAAGCCCAAGGTCTCAAGTTCAATCCCTGGTACCAAAAAAAAAAAAAAAGGACTGGGGATATAGTTCAGTGTGAAGGCCTTGGGTTCAATTCCCAGTACCACAAAACAAAACAATAAGCAAACAAAAAGGGTGGTACATTGTGGTACAATCCTGTAATCCTAGCACTTGGGAGCCTGAGGCAGCAGGATCACAGCAAGTTCGAGACCAGCGTGGGCTACATAGTGACACCCTGTTCCAAAAAAAAAAACCAGGCAAAAAAACAGCAGCAAGAGGCGGGAATGTAGCTAAGCAGTGCTGTGCCTGCCTGGCAATCGGAAGGTCCTGAGTTCATTTTCTCCAATACTGAAAAAAAAAAATAGCAGCAAATATTCTTCAATGAGCTGAGCAAGGGCGTCCTTATTTATTCCATTTTGAGATTTTTTTTTTTTTTTTTGGTACTGGGGATTGAACTTGGGTCCTTGCGCTTTCAAGACAGGCGGCATAACCACTAAGCTAAATCCCTGGCCCTTTACTTGTTTATTTTATTTCTCAGGACCTCGTGCTTGCCAGGCAGGCAAGGGACCACTGAGCTAAATCCCCAGCCCTGTTTATTTATTTTGAGACAGGATCTCACTGTATAGTTCAGGCTGGACTTGAACTCAGTATGTAGCCCAGGCTGGCCTCAAACTCTCAGCAATCCTCCTGCCTCAGGCTTCTGAGTGATGGGATTATAGGCGTGTGTCACCACACCCAGCTGAAAAATACTGGCAGGCCTCCAATTTATGGTCTTCCTGCCTCAGCCTTCCAAGTAGCTGGGATTACAGTCACATGCCACCATGAATGAGATTTAGTAGGGTCTTTATATAAAGTGGGTAAGAATGCCTGGCATTTTTTGGTCAAGTGCTCTTCAGGAAAAAGAAACCAGGGACTTCAAAGCTGGACAAGCAGGAGGAGATAGGAGCACAGGGAGGGCCACACTTACAGTCAGGACAGCAGCCGTTGAACGCCATCCTGCAGATGCCGCAGTTTTCATCATTGGCCACCCAGAGCCAAGTGGCCACACCATTCCAGCATTTAATCTTCACCTTCATGGCAGCAGAGCCTGTGGGCTGAAGCAAGAGAATTCCCCAGCTGAAGTCATGCTGCACGACTACAACATCCGGGCACCAAAGAAGGAATGCAGGCTGGGGATTTAGCTCAGTGGTTCTGCCGCCTCCCTTAAGAGTGCAAGGACCTGAGTTCGATCCTTAGTACCAATAAATAAATAAATCACACAGACTGCATTTGGGGCTGGGGATTTAGCTCAGTGGTTTTGCCGCCTGCTGCGCAAGCGCAAGGACCTGAGTTCGACCCCTGGTACCCAAAAAAACAAACAAAAAACCAAAGTAGGAATGCGCTCTGTGCCTATGGCCCGGGCTTCACCGCAGCTACTAGAGGGGCAGATTTGCTTGTCAAGAGCTATCTATCTACCAGCAATCCTGGGTCACCAAGAGAAAGATACACCGTTGTTTCCCAGGGAAGTGCCTTAACTCTTCAGTGCTGGGGAGATACTGCTGGGGGCACAGGACAATTTCGGGTTTGGTTCTGCCACACATCTGGGGTATCTTGGTTTTCATTTAAAAAATGTTGCCCAAATCGACCTTAGGGCCATACAGGAGTATGCAAGGCAAGTGCTCTATCACTGAGCTGCACTCCGCCCTTTCCCCTCTTATTTTTTCAGACAGGGTCTCGTTAAATTGCCCAGGCTGGGGTCAAATTTGAGATCTTCCTGCCTCGGCCTCCCGAATAGCTGGCAGTACAAGCATAAACCACCGCGCCGGGTCACAGGGTGATTTTGAAAAGATACAACTAGCAAAGTGTCGGTCACTAACTTGGAAGGTTATTGACGGAAACCAGACTCAAGCTCGCTAGGAGCCGCCGCCTCAGGAGAAACACGAAACGAGACTCAGATCCACAGCTCAAGGGAACCCAGGCAGCGAGCCGCGGGCAGAAGGTGACGCGGAAGCAACCGTCCGGCTCCGGGCCCCCAGCCTGACCCCCCCCACCCAACCAGCGGGCAGGGCGTAGCTCTCAAGCCACGCCCACCCGACGCCTAGCACCTGCGCCACCTAATCACGCCCTGACCCGCCCTTGCGTCGGCTGCACCGCCCTACGCGCGGGAAGGTACAAAAACGACCGCTCCGCGGCTGGCCCTTCCAGAGCTGCGCCCGCCGAGCTCCTTGTCTAGTGCGCACGCGTGCCCTTGCTCTACGTGCGCCGCAGCCAATCGACTGTAGCTCGAGACCCTCGAGGCCGGAAAGCCGCGACAGCGCCGGAAGTGACGTTTCGGCGTGCTGACGCGCGGGCTCGATCCGAGGCCCGATTCCGCGCCCGCCATGGCCGACAAAATGGATATGTCCCTGGACGACATCATTAAACTGAACCGGAGCCAGCGGGGCGGCCGCGGCGGGGGTCGTGGCCGCGGCAGGGCCGGCTCCCAGGGTGGCCGCGGCGGTGGGGCTCAGGCCACCGCTCGGGTGAATCGAGGCGGCGGGCCCATGAGGAATCGGCCGGCCCTCGCCCGCGGCGCGGCGGGCGGCGGCAGGAACCGGCCGGCGCCTTACAGCAGGGTGAGTGCGGGGACACGGGGGCGGGCGGCCCGGCGCTGCGGCCGAGGAGACCGGGAGGTACCGCGGCTCGGGGTGGGCGGAGGCGAGGTGGCGCGTCGAGGCCCGGCTCGCGGTGGGGACCATTCCTGGCGCTTTGTCCAGACTGCTGGGGCCCATGGCGGCGGGAACTTGGGTGAGGGAAGCATGGACGGTGTGCGGCCGCGGTGGGACCCCAGGCCTTAGGCAGGAACCGGTCTCCTCTCGGCGCCCAAATGGGGCGTGCACAAGGGAGGATCTGGGCGTCCGTGAGGGCGAGCAGCAGTCAGCAGGCGCGGCTCACGGGGCTGTTTCTGCTTTTCTTTCAGCCGAAGCAACTTCCCGACAAGTGGCAGCACGACCTTTTCGACAGCGGCTTTGGAGGCGGTGCCGGCGTGGAGACAGGGGGAAAGCTGTTAGTGTCAAACCTGGACTTCGGAGTGTCAGACGCAGATATTCAGGTAGGAGCCGAAGGCTTCCCAGCGAGCTTTGCATCTTGCACGGAGGGGACCATCCTTGGGACGTGGTCCTCAGTCCCACCCTCGGCAGAGCCGGAGCTTCCCAGTGCCCACAGTTGAGTTTCCCGAGGGCCTGCGTGCAGATGGGAGCCCAGTGTCGAGCAGGGTGTGCTAGGGTGGAGACTGACAGTAGGTCTTGGCTGGAGAACAGACCCTGGGGAGGCCCCCTTTTTTTTTTTTTTTTTACTGAAATTGGTGTAAGTCTTCTGCTAGGACTTCCAGTTTCTATCAGGCACAGGGATTGGGTGAATGTGAGGAAGGGTTCTTGAGGCTCCTGGCTTTCTAAATTTTGTGCCTGTTTCAGTGAGCTTTCTAAGGCCGCGACATAGCACAGAGGGGGTCATAGATGTGTGTTTTGTAGCCCTGTTTACAGTGTTTTCTAGCACTGTTGAGCAGTGCATCTTAACTATGTTCTCTCAGTCTTATTGGCATGATTTTTCAAATTTGTCTTTGGTTGCAGTCTTTTTATTTACTTTTTTTGGTTGGGTCCCAAAGGCATTTAAAGTTTTTTGGTCAAAAAAGTAACTTCTGGGGAGTGTGTTTTGGAGATGGCTGGGTCAGGATGCTGGGCCTCCTTGGGTTCCATTTCCCAGAGTCCAGCCATTTGGCCTTGCCATGGGAGGACAGAGCAAGACCAGTGAGCACTCACAGTGTCTCAACACTTTTTTTAAGGTGGTTTCTGGCATCCACTGGAAACCGCTTTTGGTGAACTCCACTTCCGCTGTGTGCCTGCGGCCGGAGTAGCCTCACACTCTGGGTTCCCTCTCCAACTCCCAGCCTGCCTGAGGTCAGGGCAGTTTCCATGGCGTGCTTGACAGGCTTGAGTAGGAGGAGAGGGAAAGGTGAGCCAGAATCTGCCTTTGGGGGAGGGGCTGGGGTCAGGGCTCCTGAAGCAGTGGGCCCTTTGAGCTAGTACAGTCTTCTGGGCAGTCCCTCTCACTCTTGCTTTTGGTCTGTTTTGTGAAATAGTCCTTAGGTGTGTTAAGTTTTTTTTCATTGAAAAACATAGTGATTTGCCGGGGATTTAGCTCAGTGGTTCCTTGCAGGTGCAAGGTCCTGAGTTCGATCCCCAGTACAAAAAAAAAAAAACCCAAAAACATAGTGATTTGATTTTGTGCCTGTAGTGGGGGTGTTACAACTTCATTCACTTGCGTCATCATACAGAAAGATGTCAGGTCCCCAAATAGGCAGGAGCTGTCCAACCCAGGTGCTCTTGGAAGTTGCTTTTCCTCCTGCCCCACCTCTTCCCTCAGTTTCTGTTACCACTGCCCTCCTTGCCTTGTAGAGGGCTGCCATGGAAGACCCCCAAAGCACTTATATTTCTCAGGGACTGATCCTGGGCCACTGGAGGGAAAATGGCTTAGTTGCTTTAACAGCTGCTCTTTCTGGCTCTCAGGAACTCTTTGCTGAATTTGGAACACTGAAGAAGGCGGCTGTGCACTATGATCGCTCTGGACGAAGTTTAGGAACAGCAGATGTGCACTTTGAACGGAAGGCAGATGCCCTGAAGGCTATGAAGCAGTACAACGGGGTCCCTCTGGATGGTTAGTCTGGAGCTGGGCCCAGGACACCTGTGGGGCTTGTGGAGTTTGGGGCTGGCACCTGTCCCTCTAGGAGTATGGGTGGCCCCTCTGGCTGAGGACACTTTGCATTTGCCCCTTTGTCTCTCTCTTCCATTCTGCCACCTCTCATGCTGCCCCACACATCTGGACCAACCTCTTGTGAACCCCCATCCAGCAAGCTACATCCCTCCCCTCCTTCAGCTCCTTCCGGAAGATTCACTTCTGTGAAGCCTTCTCGGAACCGCCATAGTACACCTGAGTGCGGGGCTGTAGTCGTAAAGACAAAGGTACCTGTTCTTCTTCCATCAGGTCACCCACACCTGTCCACCCATGAGCACCCCAGACACCTGACCAAACAGCCCACTTAACCGGTGTGAGAAGGAGTGAGGAGGTGTTGGTGGGGTTTTTTTATTGCCATTCTGTTCTCCCACCAACTCTCCAGATAGTTTCCCTTGTTGGGGGAGCTGGAGACCTACTGAGGCCCTTTCCAGAGCTTGCATGGAGACCAGGGTATGGTGCCTCTGGGTCAGCTTCAGAATCTCGGGAACGAGCCCTCCTGTGTTCTTTGCTACAGGCCGCCCCATGAACATCCAGCTCGTCACGTCACAGATAGAGACACAGCGGAGACCTGCACCGAGGTGAGTTCCAGGGCCTTGGTGCCTAGGGCTGGGTCCGCCTGTGGTGTGCGCTCATGCCGTTCAGCAGTCCTTCGAGAGCCGCGTGGGTTACTGAGTTCTGTTTTCCTTGTCAGCATCAACAGAGGTGGCATGACCAGAAACCGCGGCTCTGGAGGCTTTGGCGGCGGCGGTGGTGCCCGGAGAGGAACCCGCGGAGGCAGCCGGGGACGAGGCAGAGGCACTGGCAGGAGCTCAAAGCAGCAGCTTTCGGCCGAGGAGCTGGACGCACAGCTGGACGCTTACAATGCGAGGGTGAGTCCCACGGGGACTGGCAGGCTGGGGGGCTGACTGCACGAGGGGCCGGGAGGCGAGTGATCTGCCGCCCTCCTCTGTTTCAGATGGACACCAGCTAAACTGCCGAGCCGAGAGAAGAGAGCCCAGGGCTTCGCCTGCTCTTCGGGCGGGAGGAGGGGCCGGGAGCTGGGCTGTGTGGCCAATGACAGATTGGTTTCTTTTCTGTTTGAAGATAGGATTTAAAAACTCATGTAAAGTTTTTTTTCTCTTTTTTCTTTTTTTCTTTTTTTTTTTTAAATTCTGAAACAGACCTGTTTTGTACCGAGTTATTTTTGGGATAAATTTTACTGGTTGCTGTTGTGGAAAAGGTGGCATTTTCACCTTCGCCATAATAAAATAGAGATGTGTGTAGAATTGTGACTGCCTGGTGCGTCCTGGGCTCTGCCCTGCGGGGGGCAGTGGGCTGGCTGGAGCCTGGCACGGGGCTGAGGTCAGTGCTCTGGAGGCTGAGCTGCCGCTTCCCCATCTTCCCTGCTGTCCTCACTCCTTCCTCTAACTCGGTAGGCGGGAGAGCACCAGGGCAGCAGTGGCCCTTTGCCTGGAGCTGCCTCTTCACTGCCTTTGCCATGAGGTGAGGGGGTCGTGGGCCACGCTCCGCCCCTGGGAGTCCTTCCACCACCTGGACGTCTCTGGGCTGTTCCTATTCCTCTTACACTGTCTCAGACACCTGACCCCATGGTTTGTCCTCACTCTTCCCTGTCATGTTATACTAAAGGGAATGAGGCCTGAAGGTGCTCCCTCAATTGTGTGTGAGAGTCCCTCGGTGTCACTGGGTAATTCTGGTTGCAGGTCCCCCGCAGGTCCCAGGATGTCCACCTCCTGGGAAATGTCATAGTGCCTCAGTAGAACCACTGTGTGTCTCCCCGTGTACTTCGAGTCATCTGTTGGTTACATACAATATCTAAGACAAAGTAAATGCTGTGAAAATAGTGTGGATATAGTGACGAGGGGAAAGGGTCTATGTGGTCAGACATGTAGCAGCACACATGCAGTCTTTTTGAATATTTTTAATTCTGGGCTGGTTGAGTCTGGATGTGAGGAGTTCGCCATGTTTGGCAGAATAGCTAATGGGGGCTGAGGCAGACTTACATCCATTTGAGAGCAGGGTGAGGCGGGAAAGCCTTGTACCACCTGCAGATGCTGGCAGTGAGTTTGGAGACTGGGGTGGGACAGAGGTGGCTCCTGACCTCAGTCTCCCCTCCTACTGCTAGGAAGCCAGGAGGACCGGGGGTGGGTGAGGCCTGGGAAGCGGCCCCTGGGCTGAGAACTGGGCACACACCCCAAACTAGGTCAGCTCCTATTTGGATGGGGCACACCGAGTCGTCTGTAGGGAGAATGACCAGTGGCCTTTAAACAGATCAGCAGCTGCCACTGAACCCCAGCCCTGTGCCCAGCAGGGCCACCACTGGGAGCAGGGTACTAATTGTGGCCCTCCAGCAGGGAGGGGCTACTGAGTGTCTGGCTGTGGAGTTGCCGTGGAAGGAGTGGGCATGAGCAAGAACCTGGTCATCCCATGGGGGGCGAGGCTGTCCTTGAGGCGGCCCTGCAGGTGTGAGCATGGAGCAGACCAGAGCACGTACTCACTTCTTGGCACCACTGCCTGGGCTGGACAGTAAGTGCCTGATGGACAAAGGAGCAGGGGTTAGGAGCCTTGGGCAAAACCAGGAAAGTGGCTAGGGAATGAAGCATTGTGAGATGCGGCCTCTGGTCTTGGGAAGGACCAGGTTTAAGGTGATAGCCAGTGACTGCTCCTTAGTGGTCATGGGAGCTGGGCAGACAGCTGCGTGTCCTGCAGGAGGGGAAAGCCATGATGCCTGCTGGCACCTGGACCCCGCCTGAAGTATGTGGCCTGGGGTGGACTGGCGGCAATGGAGATGGGAAATAACATCGCAGGGACACAAGCCCGAGTCTGCTGTGGGGACGGTCATGGTCGAGAAGGCAGGCCTGTGCTGGCCATTGTGACTAACGTGATGGGACCAGGCCCTGGGCTCCCGTGGGCCACCCTCTTGGTGGCGATGAGCTTGTGCTCCCTCGTCTACAAAGCAGGGAAGCTACCTTGGATTCTGGGCGGAAGGCCACATCTGTGGCCAAGCTGGGGTTGAGAGGCTCAAGCTGGGGACTTTTTGAGGAAAGAAAAGGGGACTTCTGTTGACTGCACAGAGGAAGTGGCGGCCAGGGGCTGGGTGGACCAGCCAGGCATCTGGAGGGCTGAGCAGGGAGCGCCCACGAGGGCTCCGGTGAGTGAAAGGATGAAGTGAACTTGGTGTTTTGCAAGTTTTTCTCCAGGCTTTTTGCTCCCAGAAACATGCCCAGGAAGGTCAGGCGGATCAGAACCCCAGCATGGCTGAGACAGGGCCCATGACGTGGGACGTTGGTGTGGAGCTTCTGCTGGAGCCCTGTGAGGACATCCGGCCAGGGAAGAGCTGGTGACGGGGAGTGCAGCTGCTGGCTGCTGTGCCCTGAGCCCAGTGAGTGAGGAGCCCATGGAGCCGGCTCTGTTTCCTTGGATTGTCCTCTCTCTCCTGCCCGGGACTGGGGTTGAACCTGAGGGCCTTGCTCTGAGACCTATATCCCCAGCTTTGTGCTTTATTTGAGATGGTCTCGCTAAATTAGCTGGGCTAGGCTCAAACTTAGACGACTCCTGCCTCAGCCTCCCTGAGCACTGGAATTGCAGATGTGTGCTACTGTGCTTTGGTCACAGAGGCTTTATCAAAGGTGATTGACAGCCCCGAAATTCACCCTCTGAAAGTAGGTGCACAGTCCAGTGGCCCAGTGTAACACCACCACCACCTCCACAGGTCTGTCCAGCTCCGGGCCTCGGGCAGCCTGGACAGCGAGTAGCACAGCCCTGAGGACTGCAAACTTTCCGCTTCATTATGTGATTTCCGGTGATAGTGTTCATGACTCGGCTGTGCTGTGCTGGGGCACAGAGTTGACGGGCAGTGCAGTGCTGACACCTCCTCCTGTGTCCGCCATACAATCAGTTAAAACCGCACACAGGGCCCGGGGATTCAGCTCAGTGGTTTCGCCTCCTGCTATGCAAGTGCAAAGACCTGAGTTTGATCCCCGGTACCAAAAAAGCCAAAAAAAAACCCCACACCCAACAGACTACCACATGCGTGTGCTCCTTGGTGAGCAATTGATTACCAGTGATAGTGCCTTGAATCTGGATGTGGTGGTGGACACCCCCGATCCCAGCACATGGGAGGCTGCATTTCGAGGCCAGCCTGGGCTAGTGAGTTCATGTCTGTCTTAAAAAGAAACACAAAATGGGGCCAGGGATTTAGCTCAGTGGTTCCACCACCTGCTTTGCAAGTCCAAGGTCCCAAGTTCGATCCCGGTACCCCAAAAAAAGAAACCCTAAAAAATAGTATTTCAACCTGCCTACCTGTACACGTGCCCATAGGCATTTCTGTTTCTCTAGTTAGCTGTGAATGTGAGGCTGGGGTGTAGCTCAGTGGAAAAGCACTGCTTTCCATCCCCAAGGTGTCGAGGGCGGGGGGCAGGGGCTGGGTACTGTTCAGGGTTATGTGTAGTTTTGATATTCAAGTTCCTAGAAAATAAGTGAGAATAGTAGAAAGATTTTCTCTATACCTAGAGCTCCTAGGTTATGGTCTACTATTTTTTTGTTCTTAGTTTTTTCTGAACTCATTGAAAGTAAGTTGGATTTAAGTTCTGTTTTACCCCTAAGTTCTGTATTTTTTTTTTTTACAAGGACATTCTCTTACATAGTCAGATATTACCATCGATACAGTGCTGTTATCTAAACTATTCACATTTAGCTGGTGTCCTAATAGACTGAAATGTTTTACCTAGTCTACACCATGACATTTAACTGTCCTGTTTTGTGTGTGTTGTTGAACCTAGGGCCTGCACACAGCAATATCCCCAGCCTGTTTTTCTTTTCTATTATGAGAGAGGATATTGCTGTGCTCCTCAGGCATTGGAGATACTCAAAGTACAATCCTGCCTCAGCCTCCCAGAGTGCTGGGATTATAGACATGTACTACCACACCCATTGCACTCTGCAACCAGCCCATATGTCCAGCCTTTTGTTTCTTTCTGGTTTTTGCTTTATGTAGTTCAGGGTACCCTTGAACTCACTATGTATATAGCCCCAGCTGGCCTTGAACTCAAAGCTATCCTCCTGCCTCAGCCTCCTGGGTGCTGGGATTACAAGTATGGACCCGTATGCCTGGTTCCCAGACCTTTTTAAAATTTTACTTTGAAAGAAAAAAATATTTACTTTGAGACAACATCTTGCCAGGTTGTCCAGGCTGGCCTTGAACTTGGAATCCTGTTGCCAGCTCTGCCTTCCAAGTAGACTAGAAATCTTAAACTGCTCCCTTGTGTGGGCTCCAAAGGCACTCTCTGCCCCTTCACCCATCATGCCATCCTCTCCCTTGGCGATGCCTCCAGCCACCAACCCTAAGGTGCTCTAAGGGTTCCAGAGTAAGACTGACCTCCTCTGAGACCTCTGGGCCCCTTGGACTCATCTCATTTTACAGCTGTGCATCATCATGCCCAACCCTAAGCAACTCTTGAAACCAAAACTGCTGGTTCCATAATACTAAACAAAAAATAAAACAAGAACATGACAGACGTGGTGGTGCATGCCTGTAATCCCAGGAATCTGGGAGGCTGAAAATTACAGGTTCAAGCCCAGCCGGGGCAATTTAGCAAAACCTTGTCTCAAAATAGAAAAGGGCTGGGGGTGTACCTCAAATTGAAGGCCCGGAGTTCAAAACCCAATGCTAAAAATGCATAAATAAATTTTAGATAGATAGATAGATATAGATGCAAAATAGAGTGCCATCAGAGTAATGTGGCTGTCAGATCATGTTATGGCTTATATCTAGATGTCCCCCAAAAGCCTCATGTGGTCGCAGGTGGGGCTCGGGGGGTACCTGGATCACGGGTGTGTGGAACTGGACTCATCCACTGAGGGGTTCATGGCTGGGTGGACACTGGGAGGTGGGAGTCTGGTGGGAAGAGGTGGTTACTGGGCATGGCCAGGAAATGTGTGTGTGTATGATGGAGATCCCTCCTCCCTCTGTCCCCTGCCCTTCCTGCCTGCTCTGCCCTCTGCCTGGGAGCCAGCCTACTCTGGACTGAGACTTCTACGAACTGAGCCACATAAACCTTCCTTTAACTTACTCTGGCTGGCTTGAGCCACTGGTGGTGCTTGCACGACTCACATTGGGTGGTTTGTGTCACTGGTGGTACATACGTAACATCAGACAATCAAATTCAAATCAGACCTGCCCGGGAGCAAGAGTAGGAATTGCAGCCCCTTCGTGAATGTGTTAAATTGCAGGTGACAGGCATTATGTCTCAGCCAAGAGACAGTAACT